TATGGCCAAAGTTATAAAAAAGCTATAAATAAGAAAAGAGCTTTTATTTAAAAAAAAAATAAAAAATTAAGGAACCTCATTTCAACATTGCAAACAATTCCTCCTGTTTACGGTTTTTGCAGCTGCTCAAACCGCAAATGACAGATTGCAAAGGATAGCATGACACCCCCCCCCCCCCCCCCCCCCAAAAAAAAATCTTCAAATATATTAATAGCAAAAAAGGTCAGGTGCAAGCATGTAGGCCCTTTACAAAATCTAGAGTGAGTGACTGGGGACAAAGAGAAGCCAAATGTACTAAATACCCTTTTCAGTTCTGTGTATACAAAGGAGCATGGGGGAGCTCGTCCATAATGGGCATGGTATTAACACAGCCCCAGATGATCCACATTGGCTCACAATTGATATGATCCAGAAATATATAAACAAAAAAAAAGGTGAATAAAGCACCTGGACCAGATGGCATACACCCATGGGTCCTTAAAGGATTGAGCTCAGTCATTAAAATGCCTCTAAAAATGAGAAACAAGGGCTTTGAAATGACAGGCATAGTACCACTGGATTGATGTAAGGCCTATGTGGTGCTTATATTTAAAAATCTAATTCTTTACCAAGGAATTATAGAACTGTTAGTTTAACATCTATAGTTGGGAAGATACTGGAAAGTTTAATAAAAGACCAAATAGTTCTTGCTGGAAAAAAAATATTTTAAAAAGCCAGCTTTAGGCAGCTTAGTAGCGTGCTTTAAAAAAGGCCTGGATTATTTCCTAGATACACAGAATATAAGTGGATACTAACATTTATAGGTAAAGTTGATCCAGGGAATAACCGATTGCTCCTGCAGGGGAAAAAAATTCCTTCCCGATTCTCTCCCCCCCCCCCCCCCCCCCCCCCCCCCCCCACACAGGGAAGCACCGTTGAGGGAACTGTCAGTTCTCCACATTATTCAAGGGATACTCACGAGTTGAAAAAGATGTAGGGCAGTGATCCCTGTCTGCACCCATCACAACAGGCAAACCCCACCAGGTCTTCAGGGATGCAACTTCCCTCCAGCTGGATCCCTGCCCTGCCCAGCACCCTGCCAGTGAGGCCACTGCATACACTCATCCTTCTGCCAGTAATCTCTGAAGGTATAAACGCCGACCAGCAGATATTACAGACCATATTGTACATTTACTTGCAATTCAGTTATAACATTCTACTACTGTGAAAAGGAGAAGTGTTCTTCCAGGAGTCCAATAAAGGGACTGCAAATCTCCACTTTTCCAATCTTGCAAGAGAAATAGCAGTTTTTTGTACAAGAATTATTTACCGAGAAAAATTACATTTTACACCACAGGTCTGCATTTGAAAAAAAAAAAAAAAAAAAATGAGATTGACAAAACCCCATCATAAAGCATGGCTTTAAATACCCAATTTACATTTTTTATATTAAACAGGAAACTGAGTTTGATATGCTACTAAAAACGATATTCCTGCAAAAGGATCTATCATCCTCCTCCATAAGCCATTTTATCTTATGTAATTTATCAATTTATTACAAGCTTCTGCCTATTTTCCCACTGTTGTCGGTTACCCAATTCATGAATGATAGATTGAACTAGCCCTGTATAGCTCTTACCTGTATATACGAGATCAGCATTTTTCTTTTTTTTTTTTTTTTAATAATGCGACCAGTGTTCTCTTGGCTGCTGCTGGACCTCAGCATCTTTGTTAAAAGCAGGGAAATTATGACCCGCTGCCCTTTACCCCAAATACAGGGGTTGGACAAAATTATGGAATTACCAGGAAAAAGAATGAAATAGTTACCCAATATGGTGTCGGACTGTCTTTGGCATCCAAATCGGCCACAAATCTTCTGGGAATTGACAAATACAAGTCTCGGATGGTGGATAATCTGATATCACTCTTCATACAAAAATAGTTCGTTTTCGCATAGATGCCGGAGGCGAAAAAAAGGAGCCCGAACTTTGTTCTCCAAAATTGACCATAGTGGCTCTACGATATTGAGGTCCGGCGACAGCGGCACCCAGGAAAGACTTCATCTGCATGCTCGTCAAACCACCAGTTAACATTGGATGAGTAAATCAGAGCATTGTCGTCTTGGGAAATGGCGCTGTCTTCAGAAAACAAAGTCTGCCCCAAGGGGTGCACATAATCGCCTAAATTTGCATAGTTGCAGGCAGTGATTATCTTTCAAAAGGTAACAATGGTGCCTGCAGAATACCAAGATATGCCTGCCCAAACAAGAACTGCTCACCAACATGCTTTACAGTTGTAATAAGACAGTTCTGGTTGTGTGGAGAACACTGTCCCAAGCTTACAAAAACACATCTGATGCTTTGGAACAGTGTGAAGCTTGATTCATCAGACCACATTAGTCTTCCAATGATCGATAGTCCACAATTTATGGGTGTTGCACCACTCTGTCCTCTTATGGAGCATTAAGATCTGTCACTAGTGGTTTGGCAATTGCAGCTTGCCCGTAAAAGTTTTGCTTATGGGAGTTCCCTCTACACAGTTTTTGTGGACACATGCTTTGGAAGACGGAGCTTGAGCTCTGCAGGCACATTTGCAGCAACTGTTTACTTATTCTGGGTCACAATCCTGCACAATGTCCTTTTGCCTCTTTCGGTCAGTTGACCATGTCAACCGTGCTTATGCTTATCAACAGCTTTCCCAAAACTGTATATGCCATCTTAACCTTTGATACTGTACCTCCCAAAACCGCAAATAAATTGGCAACTTCAGTCACAGAGGCACTAGCTAAGCAAGCCCTAACAATTTGCCCACTTTGAAACTCCATAAGCTCTGACATGACTCTATTGCTAGCAGTGCACGCAGTGAATGACAAAAGTGAAGCTTCTCACCTGTTAGCTAGGCGTCTCATCAAACAATGGAAGCAAAAGGATACATCACTTCAGCTTTCCACACGAAAAAGATCACTTTCACACCTGCAATTCATGTAGTGTTTCCACATTTTTGTCCAATCCCTGTACATACCTCTCTTCTGAAATGAGATCCCCCCAATGCCATTACATTCACTGGCTCATTCCACTTATCGGCCAACCATAATGAATGACTGGATATCTGAAATCTTCTACATAAATCCAAAAGGTGAAAATGAAAGCACTGGCCTTAAAATTGGTCTTTTTGACATAAAATATACAAATGGTAAATTTTGTTAAGGTATCCCCCATGGCAGGGGCTGTGTCCCCCATGGCAGTGGATCTCCACTGATATCATAGCTTGTAACTGAAGGAAATAACTAAAGCACCACAACAGAAATTTGCACATACAGATAGCTTTATTCCAGAAGAAAAGTAACTGTCACCGTGGTAATGCATTTTAAGGCTTAAAATAATTTAAAAAATGATGCTTGTTTTTAATGCAAGGTACCTTTTGACTGGATTATTGGAACACACCATCTGTCAGTGGCTGGTTTAGGCATGACAAATTGAGGCAGTGGTCTTATGTGCTTCAGGGGGACCCCACATCAGCAGTATTTTGTTAAGGGGGGGGAAGAGGCGTCGTGGGGAGTTTTGTTGCAGCAAGAAAAACTGGCATATTCAATGACAACTTCTGCACTGAAGCCTGTTTTAATGCCCTACTAAGATATCAGACAACCAAAAAGTGCATTATTTTCAGTGAGTCTGCAAGTCTAACGCACAGAAGTTTATCATTACAGTTTGTCCCTGTTGGTGCAGGGACCAGAGCCTACATGTATAATAAGCCAAGATGACTGGCCCCATTTACTTTTTTTTATGAAAAATAATGCATGGAAACAAGTATTTTAAAATATTAAAGTGGTTTTAAAGGCTTTATTTTTTTTACTTTCATGCATTCTATGCATGAAGGTAAAAAACCTTCTGTATTTAGCAGCCCCCTTTCCCACCCACCCAACACTTACCTGAGCCCCATCCCGATCCAGCGATGTCCATGAGAGCCTCGGTTCCCTGGGGACTCTAACTCCTGATTGGCTGAGGCAGCAGTGGGAACCATTGGTTCCCACTGTCAATCACAGCCAGTGAGCCAATTAGGAGAGGGAGGGGCGTTGCCAAACCACAGCTCTGTGTGTGAATGGACACACAGAGCCACAGCTCAGGAGCACGCCTACAGCAGGAAGGGGCCCAGAGCAGCAGCAGGGGACCAGAGAAGAGTAGGATCAGGGCTGCTCTGTGTAAATTTCCTGCACAGAACAGGTAAATATAACATTTAATGAAAAATACCCCAAGACTTTAGTATCACTTTAAGAGACTGATAGGAATTACATCAAGCTTTTTATATTCACATCTAAAATATTTTAAATCTATATAATCCATTTATGTGTCACTAACCTAACCATGCCATTTCTGTTTCCATTAATGGAACAGTTATTGTCAACATCCTAAATGCTGCAGGAAGTGTAAAAATATACTTGAATTCAACCTTAATAAACTAGCCAGATACACGAACACAAGCATGAAAAAGAAAAAAGGTAAAAAAAAAAACACCACATTGCTGCTTTGTACTTCAACAAACCAAAAATTTTAGTTCCCATTTAATGACTTTTGAGCAAATACATTTGCTACAAGACAAGGTAATTGATAACACAAGCACAGCATATCATAATAAAAAAAAGTGTTGGATCACATTATTAACACTATATAAACAAGACACTTATGTAAATGTTAAGAGAAGTTATTTACAGAGCACTAAATACGCATGATAGCTGGCTATGGCTGCTTAGGTCTCCTCCAACATTTACTTCTTTCAACTGCACAAGAAACTTTCTTTGCATGGTTGTAAAACAAATTGTACGATCATGCAATACACAAAATTTGATCAGAAGTATTACAGAGTTTCAGTTAAGGATATTAAAAGACCTGTACTATGAGGCAGAAATCCTCTAAAAGCCCAGCATAAAAGAAAAACTTATAGTGTAAAAAAAAAAAAAAAAAAAACACAACAGGAAGAAAAAAACCTAAACTGAAAATATATCTCTAAAAAAATATTTAAAATGTTTAGTAACGCTGTGGAAACCGTGGTTCATTGGGTCTGTTCTGTCCTCCAAAGTTTCCACCTTGAGGCCCCATTGCCGACACATTTTGGGAATTTTCATTTGGAAGAAACCTGCATTACACAAGAAAACATGTTATCATAACACTTACTATAAATAAAATATTTTAATCACATTCATTTGAAGCAAAAGAACTAAGGTGTTACTGCTACTTGGCTACAGACCTCTGGCAGTCAGCAGTGACCCAGTTGTACAATTTTTGTTTTTAATATAAAAATTATCTAGCTGTACTCACCATGAAATCTCCATGGAGGAACAGAAAATCAGATTATACTACCACCTACAAGAGGACAGGTCATTGGCAAAAAAAAAAAAAAAAACCTGTGTCCCTCACTGGACTCCAACAAAAGGATGTAAGGGAGAGTACAAAAATACAATATTTTTCTTGTCCATTGATGGACACGAGTACTCTGATACTGTTGGGGCATCCATAAGCAGTCCAACAGAAAAAACAGTCAACAGGCCCAACAAAAAACAAACATGGGGACTGCCTGTAGCCCAAGAACAGCCTGAAAAACCAAAGCCAGAATCTAAAATCTGATAAGCCCCCTAACCAACTAGGGAACCTGTCACACAGCATAAGGGAGAAAAGGAAAAAAAAAAAAAAAAAAAAAAAAAAAAAAAAAAAAAGAAGAAGCACCAGTTGAGAGGGTTTACTCCACATAGAAAGATACTGAAACATGAACCAAGTGAGAAACTGTTCATCCAGACCTTGCCAAAACTGGTGGAAGAACAAATTCCCATAAAGAGAAAAAAGACCCACAACCTTATGGGGTCAGCAATGAATGAGGGAACAGATCCGATGGATGGTCTTCCTCTCCAGGATCAAGGGTGTAAAGGCTTTAAGCCTTGCCACTTAGAACTCCTAGGGATCAAGGGACAAGAGCTCCATGTCTTAAGATTGTTTTGGTCAGAAAACTACGCTTGGCAAGTGAGGCTTATCGTGGAAAACCCTGAATCAGCTATAACACCACAGCCTAAAAAGGGTGTGAGGAGATTGTGGGATTGAAATTCCAGAGTTTTCTAGTGGACTCAAAGTCAGCAGGGGGAAGGACACGAAAAGAACCTCTAGAAAGATAGTTAGGACATGGGATGTATACCTTAGTTCTAAAGTGACGCAATGGAACAACCAGATCACAATGATAGCACTAAACACACCCTCTCTAGTATGCAAAAAGGAGCCTTTGGGGAAACCCAGAGGCATCCAAAGAACAATCCCATCAAGTAATAACAGGAGACTTCTCAGCCCAGCAAAGAACATTTAGAGCAAGTGAAAAAAAAAAAAAAAAAGGAAATACATGAAGGCCTAAAACAATAGACTGTGAATCAGCTATGGAAAATTGGACAGGTCTCCAGAAGTCTTTAAAATAGTAGTAGCATCACCAAACGTTTAAAAGACTTGTGGAATCCCCCAGGGGACAACCGATTCAAATCTGTCCAGTGAATTAACCACTTCCCGTCCGGCCGTTGTATATAAACGGCCAGACGGTGGCACTGCAGGGTCGGGTGGCCGTCTATAAACGGCCTCCCCGCACCCTGCTTGTGCGCGCTCCCTGGGAGCGCGCAGCACCGCGATCCGGTGCCCGCTGTGTCCTCCGGACACAGTGAAACACCGATCGTCGGACGGGACCTCTGTACAAGGTCCCGATCATGTGATCACTGATTGGCCAATCAGTGATCACATGCAAAGTAGTAAGCAAGATGTCACTTGTGACATCATTGCTTACTACGTGTGAAATCTGTGAATGATCATAGAGGTCACATGGTACAAGGCTACTCACAAAAGCCTTGTACCATGTGACAAGCTGTGACCAATCACAGCTCACTCAGTACTTATCAATGAGTGCAAGAATGCACACAGAGAGAAGAGAAATGATTGCTTTTACATCCTATATGGGTGTAAAAGCGCAATCCGTGTAAAAAAAAAAAAAAAAAAATCTTCATCACCCCCCCCCCTCCCCCCCCAAGTAGTACAGTGTCACCATGGTGACACTGTACTGCTAGGGTGACAGTATGTAAAAAAAAAAAAAAAATTATAAAAAAAAAAAATAAAAAATGTAAAAAAAGTTTAAAAATTATAATTTTTGCTTATAAACTAATTTGGATTTTTTTTTTTTTTACTAAAAAGATAACAGGATAAATAAAGGCTAAGATTTATGATGAAATATTATTTATTTGCAAAATTTTATTAAAAAAAAACACTTTAACATTTTTGGACATTTCATTTACATAGCAAAAAAAATACAAATCCCAGTGGTGAATAAATACCACCAAAATGAATTTTTTACCATTTTTTTGAGACCGATAAAGCTTTATTTGGGTACAGTGTTGCATGACCGCACAATTGTCATTCAAAGTGTGATAGCGCTAAAAGCTGAAAATTGCCCTGGTCAGGAAGGGGGTAAAAGTGTCCGGTCTGGAAGTGGTTAATAAAGCATTTTTATTTCTGTCAGAAACTCGACCCCATGCTGAAACTAAAAATATGGGTGTTCCTATGGCGAAGATACAGCCAGCACTGAAGCAGCCTACACCTCGGGTTTTCCTTATGTATAAAAGGCAGCAGAGGAAATACAGGGTTCTACAAGAGACGGAGGGCTACAGATATCTGTCCTGGCAGTGATCAGAGGCGGCAGACACTGTGCTCATTCTCTGCAACACTCCCTCTCCTCCCTGCATGGTCAGACGGGTGTCTCTTGTATAGCGTGGCAAGATAGCATTGGGGGAAACTGTCTGACCAAACTACTCAGCACTTGATCCCGTTTAAATCTGCTGCTATGTACCTGGAGAATTCAATGGCTCTTCTTTAAAGCCTTTCCTCTTCCTGTCAAGGGATATCTGCAGCAGGAGACTGCTGTGCTCTGCCTGCCGACAATCCAGGGAGCTCAACTTGCCACTCAGCATCTGAGACACACTTGGAAGGGTGAACCTCCCCTCTATGTCTAGAGGCTACAAGTTGATATAATCTTGTTTCCACAAGATTGACCTTAAAAAGTTCTGCGCATGTGAAAAGGTAATCTGGTTCCAACACTGGAAGATTTTGTTGGTCTCAGCCCACAAAATCATCCAGTGTTGGAATCAGACTACCTTTTTGATGCAGGAAGGACTCACAAGAGCGCTTGAGCACCTTTTTCTGAGGGCGAAGAGAGGAGTAACTGTCTTATGGGGGGCCTGAAGGTAAACATGCTGTGGATTTTTGTAGCTGAAGGAGTAGTACAGCCAAAGCTCTTTTGGCTGTACTTCTCCAGTGGATCACAGCACATTAACCAGTGCTCTACCCATCTGTATGGATGTCAACCCCACGAGGGAAACTAGCAAAAAACCAGAAGCATGCTTGGTAAAAGGGGTTATTGCGGACTGGTTCACAATTTTTTCCTCTGTTCCCAGTGTCTAATGCTTTTGTAGGGAGTATTATAACCCAAGAGCATCTCAATTTCTGTGTCCCTTGAAAGGACGATAAATGCCCTGGAACAGAAAAGTGTGGCAGCAACCTCCTACCCAGGTATTAAAGTGGGGCAAGATCTTGGCAGTTGTGGCAGATCGCAGAATATGTTGGTGCTAGAAACCACCAGATGTCAGACACACTGTAAATAGTCTCAGGTCAGGAATGAAATGGTTTAGCGGACAGGCTTGCAGTCCAGCTGAAGAGTAATAAGCAGAATAAATGTTTTCATAAAGCCATGTCTGCCATAGCTGTAAATATCTCTAATAAACTCAGGCAGCCATTTTTAAAACTTCCCTGTAACAGAAGAAAAAAAAAAAAAACACAAAACACACCACAATAAACAAAGCAACCACTGTCAGGTATTAAATGCAAACTTCAAGGCGCTGATACAGTAAGCTCTGGCACAATCGAGAAGCTCATCAAAAATGCTGGGAATGTGGCTGTAATTGGCAGAACTTGGAGGATGCTGTAGATTCTCCAAATTAAAAAAAAAAAAAAAACTCCCAATAATTAACTGTGCCTCCCAAAAATTTACCTCCCTACATCCCCACTCTGACGTCTGAGACATGGCCTGCCGACACATACAGTGGGGGAAATAATTTGATCCCCTGCAGATTTTGTAAGTTTGTCCACTTACAAAGAAATGAAGGGTCCATAATTTTTTTTTATCATAGGTGTATTTTAAATTATAGGAGACTGAATATAAACCAAAAATCCAGAAAAAAACAAAAACCACCACATGATACAAATGTTATAAACTGAGTTGCAATTCTGTGCGTAATATAAGTATTTGATCCCCAACCAACCAACAATAATTCTGCCTCCCACAGACTGGCTATGTGCTCCTACTGTGCCTCTCAATTTAAGAAGGTGCTCCTAACGACAACACCTGTCCTCAGAATCTTTCTTGGGCACCACCATGGGCAAGACCAAAGAGCTGTCAAAGGACGACAGGGACAAGATTGTAGACCCGCTCAAAGCTGGAATGGGCTAGAAGACCATTAGCAAGAAGCTTGTTTAGAAGGCGGCAACTGTTGGAGCGATTATTCGCAAATGGAAGAAATACAAAATAACCATCAAATCGCCCTTGGTCTGCAGCTCCATGCAAGATTTCGCCTCATGGGGTAAGCATGATCATGACAAAATTGAGCGATCAGCTCAGAACTACACCAGAGGAGCTTGTGAATGATCTCAAGGTAGTTGAGACCACAGTCACCAAACAAATCACTGGTAACAATTTGCCACCATGGATTGAAATCCTGCAGCGCCCGCAAAGTCCCCCCTCTTCAAGAAGGCACAGGCCCATCTGAATCATTTAGATGTTCATTGGCAAACTTCAGAGAAGAATTGGGAGAAAGTACTGTGGTCAGATGAGACCAAAATTGAGCTCTTTGGCATTGACTCGACTCACCGTGTTTAGAGGAAGAAAAATGCTAGTCAAGCATGGAGATAAAAACATTATGCATTGGGGCGGTTTCTCTGCTGAAATCATATGCCGACTACGCATTGAGGGGCCAAAAATCTTCGATAAGAACCTTCTTCCCTCAGCCAGAACACTGAAGATGGGTCATGAATGGGTCTTCCAGGATAAAAAACAAAAACAAAACAAAAAAAAAGACCCAAAACATACCAAGTCAACGGAGTGGCTCAAGAAAAAGCACATTAAGATCATGGAGTGGCCTAGCCAGTCTCCAGACCTTAATCCTATAGAAAATTTATGGAGAGAGCTGAAACTTTGGACAGCCAAGAAACCTTAAGGATTTAGAAAAGATTTGTAAAGAGTGAACCAAAATCCCTCTCAAGATGTGGGCAAACCTGGTAACCAACTACAAGAAACATCCTTACCTCTGTGCTTGCCAAAAAAGGGTTTCTCCACCAAGTATTAAATCATGTTTTGCTTAGGTATCAAATACTTATTTTACTCACTGAACTTCAACTCAATTTAGAACATTTGTATCATGTTTTTTTCTGGATTTCTGGTTGATATTTATCATTAAAATATACCTATGATAAAAATGATCGACCTTTCATTTCTTTGCAAATGGGGAAACTTAGAAAATCTGCAGGGGATCAAACAGTTATATTCCCCACCGTAGATAGGGACAGTTGCTGTAAAACCTTGGTCCAAGTCAGCTGAGAGGGGACTGTGTCAATAGACACACTGGTTACCTTAAGAGATTTGACCCTAATACTGTCAGTGGCCCAAAAGAAAATGGTGTGGTCCCTTTAACACTTGCTGCAGCTCGCAGTCCCACAAACAAATGGCTCTGCTCTGTAGCCCCAAAAACAAAACAAAAAAAAAAAAAAAACCACACACACACACACACTTGTTCTGCTGTGACTTGTAGCCCCATTAAAGGACATTCTTCGCTCTGCCACACTCGTGATGTCATCAGGACATACCAGCAGGGCTACTGTGAGGCTCACTTACCGCCAACCCCAGGCCCTTCTGGCGAACAATACTATATCATGATTAAAAGCAGGCTACTCCAACATTACCATATAAAAAAAAAAAAAAAAAAAAAAAAAAAAAAAAAAACACAAACCACATCTGATGAGAAGCCAATAGGCAGTAAAAGGGTGATTTCTATGTGCAATTGGCTTTTCCTTAGATCATTGTTTGTGTTTCATACCTGGAGATACAGGCTAAAGGTTTTAATGCATTTTCTGCATCAAGGTTTTAAAAAAAAAAAAAAATTCCAAGATTAGCTCCACCCCAGCCCAATGTGTGTCCGTGTCTCTACATCAATTCCAGCAGTCTAAACACATATGGCAACCACTCCAATAAATGCTGCAATATAGGGTGGTATTCGAATACAACTCCTGTTTTTAATGAAGGATTGCAACTTATTTCTGGACTTACACTTCTAGGCATGGTATTTAGAGTCTTAAATCATTAGAACAGATGCATGCTTACCCATGCGCTCCTCCTCTATTCATCTGTCCTGAGGAACTTGGCATACCACGATCACCTTTTTAAAGAAGGCAAGACTTATTCTGACATTTTTGCACAATGCAAAAAAACTTAAAATATAGAGTAAAGCATTATTGTTAACCAGATGCGGACTGAACACCACAGATATACTGCTGCATACCGGCTGCTATACGCTGGATCATGCATCCGATACGTGATCAGACTTTTCGGGGGGGGGGATCAATGCTCGCGCCCTCCGCTACGCCTGTGTTGTGATTCATTACAGGACAAGCTGTTGAGTGGGTCCCGTCCAATGACTTATGGCCAGGACCCACCGATCCGCAGAGCGGATGACAGGAGAGAGCTCTGTGATTGTAAGCACAGGGCTCTGTCCTGACAACAGCAATGTGCTGGTTTTTGTTTCCCTGCAAAGTAAAACCAGCACACGGTAAACACTTTACACTTGTTAGACACACAGTTAACCCTTTGATTGCCCCCTTTCCAGCCAATGTCCTTAAGTACAGTGTCCATGTATATTAGTATGGATCACTACACTGGTGATGTCAGTATCATTTCCCACAAAGCTTTAGTTAGTGCTAGATTGCCAGCTACACTATCATAGTCCTGTTACAAGTCATTGGTTACCACCATTACTAGTATAAAAAATAAAAATGATATTCTATAATCCTATATATCCCATAGTTGTAGATGCTATAACATTAAAGCAAGCCAATTAATATACATTTATTGGGTTTTTATTTCACCAATATAAAAACGAAAAAAAATAAAAATTTTGAAGAACTTTTTTTCTACTTTCTGCTATAAAACCTATCCAATAGCAAAATTTTAGTGTATTCTGCTACATAATACAAAATAAACCCAGTGGTGGTCAGTGTTGCATGACCACGCAATTTTCAAAATAATGGCCTGGTCATGAAGGGGGTAAAATCTTCCAGCGGTCACTTTATTAAAGCAGGATGCTTTAATAAACACTGTTTAAAAACGTACTCTCCCTCATTCTTGACACCTAAACTGACTAATCTGTGTAACAAAATCAAAACAAACAAAACAAAACAAAAAACACCCCTATATAGTGCCTTGAAAAAAAGTATTCATAGCCCTTGAAAATGTCCACATTTTGTCATGTTACAACCAAAAAGGTATATGTATTTTATTGGGATTTTATGTGATAGACCAACACAAAGTGGCACATAATTGTGGAGTGGATGGAAAACATCTATTTGTAAAAAAAAAAATGTTGAAAACCAGTTATCTGAACAAAAGTGTGGTGTGCATGTGTATTCAGCCCCCGAGTCTATACCGTACTTAGTACCATCTTTCAGTACAATTACAGCTGCAAGTTTTTCTGGGGATGTCTCTACCAGCTTTGCACATCTAGAGACATTTTTTTGCAAAATAGCTCAAGCTCTGTCAGATTGGATGGAGAGTGTCAGAACAGCAATTTTCAAGTCTTGCCACAGATTCTCAATTGGATTTAGGTCTGGACTTTAACTAGGCCATTCTAACCCATGAATATGCCTTGATCTAAACCCACTAGACTACATTCCATTGTAGTCCTGGCTGTATGTTTAGGGTCTTTGTCCTGCTGGAAGGTGAACCTCCGACCCAGTCTCAAGTCTTTTGCAGACTCTCTCACAGTTTTCTTCTAAGATTGCCCTGTATTTGGCTCCATCCATCTTCTCATCATCTCTGACTAGCTTCCCTGTCTCTGCTGAAGAAAAGCATCCCTATAACATGCCGCTGCCCACACCATGTTTCACGGTGGGGATGGTGTGTTCAGGTTGATGTGCAGTGTTAGTTTTCCGCCACACAGAGTTTTGCTTTTAGGCCAAAAAGCTCAATTTTGGTCTCATGTGGAAGAAGGTAATCTGGTCAGATGTTTGCTGTGTCCGCCACATGGCTTCTCACAAACAGGACTTATAGCTTTCTGCACCGGCTTTCTTCTTGCCACTCTTAGATAAAAAGGTCAGATTTGTGGAGTGCACAGCTAATAGCTGTCTTGTGGACAGATTTTCCCACCTGAGCTGTAGATCTCTGCAGCTCATCCATGGGCCTCTTGGCTGCTTCTCTAATTAATGCTCTCCTTGCCCGGCCTGTCAGTTTAGGTAGACAGCCATGTCTTGGAGAGAGTATGGCACAACTGCAAACCTACCATTTTCAATTGATGGATTGAACAGCGCTACGTGAGAGGTTCAAAGCTTGGATTTTTTTTTTAACAATTTAACACTGCTTTAGACTTCTCCATAACTTTAACCCCCTGACCCTGTCTGGAGTGTTCCTTGGCCTTCATGATGCAGTTTGTTCACTAACGTTCTCTAACAAACCTCTGAGGGCTTCACAGAACAGCTGCATTTATACTGAGATTAAAATTACACACAGGTGGACTGTATTTACTAAATTAGGTGACTTCTAAAGGCAACTGGTTCCACTAGATTTTATTTAGGGGTATGAGAGTAAAGGTGGTTTAATACAAATGCACACCACACTTTTCAGATATTTGTTAAAAAAAAAAAAAAAAATTGTGAAACCCATTTATCATTTTCCTTCCACTTCACAACTATGTCCCACTTTGTGTTGTCTATCACAGGGGGTCTCCAAACTTTCTAAATGAAGGGCCAGTTTACGGTCCTTCAAAACTTTAAAGGAGGGCCGGACAGTGGCCAGCAGTAGTAGAAAATGTATTGGGGTTGGTGGAAGGAACAGTAGTGCCCCGTCGATGACTGTAGAGGGCATAGTGCCCCGATGACAGTAGGACTAGTGCCCCATCATTGATGACAGTGGGAGGAAAAGTGCCTTGTTATCAGTGGCAGAACTATGCCCCACTATTGCAAAGGGCCGGATAAAAGCAAGCAAAGGGCAGCATTCGGCCCCAAGGCCACAGTTTGGAGACCATCGGTCTATCAAATAAAATCCCAATAAAATAGATTTATGTTTTTGGTTGCAACATGACAAAATGTCAATGGGTACGAATACTTTTTTCAAGGCACTGTACCCATTTTTAGCCCGCTCCAGTCCAGTCACATGATTGGTCCCTGAGTCAGTGACAGGCAGCAACAGAGGAGACAAGAAAGCAAATCGATAATGGTTGGGAAAGCTGGGAGGAGGGATATCACCCCATAGGCTCCAAGGTCTCAGCCATTGGTCTGTGCTCGCTCATCTCTGCTGCAGCCACTGCTGACTGACACAGGTGTGCCAGATCACAGGACAGGACAAGAAATAGGCAAGTATACTTTTTTTTTTTTCCTTCCCCTTCTAAAAACACAGGTTAGTCAGCTTGAGCAGGAATTTTCTTTAAGATCTGAAGATGGCTTTCAATTATATGCAAAAAAAAAAAAAAAAAAAACTATTTTACTATGATGGCCACTTTTAGCAATACCATCTACATTACCTGGTCTTGATCGATCAGACTCCATCTTGCGACTATGATCTCCCCAATCGCGTCCATCCCTAACGAGGACAAGATAGCACTTTAAGATTTACCTATTACAGGTATTTATAAATCGCAATGACAATTTTACACAGCACTTTTTCATACCGTAAATGCACATTCCTTGCCCCTCAAGAAGCTTACAATCCAAACCCTAACTCACATACATACAAACATAAAAATGCAATACAAACATGCACACTCCTACATGGAGAACTGGAAAGAGTAGGCGCTGTGGAAAATGCTCAGTCAAGCACCTTAATGAAGGTGCATCTTTATTAAGTGAGGTAATAGCAAATACAATAAAATTTGACCAGCCTGAAGTGAACAGTGTGACTCCAAAGGACGCCATTTTCCACAGCGCCTATTCTTTTCAGTTCTCTTCATCATGCAAATGATTAATAAGGCAACAGTGGTGAGCTCATGATCAACTGTTCACATGCTTCCACCTGGAGTGGCCTCTCTGCACTCAATTGTATGAGTTTTCCTTTACACTCATACGTGGGCCAATTCGGGACAGCAGTCAATTAAGTCATTGGAAAAATGGAGGAAAAATGGAGTACCCAGATGAAATCCACACAAGTACATGGCAATCATGCAAACTTAATACAGACAGGGTTCGTGATCAGGATTTAAACTGGAGAATTTTTTTTTTTTTTTTTTTTTTTTTTTAAACTAAAATTACCTGCCTAAAAACACTAGACTAGTTCCACTATACAAAATAATCCATTGTGAAAAAAAAAACAAAAAACTAAAAAAAAAAAACACACACGCACAAATCTTGGCATTTATATTGAAAATATGACTGAGCATACAAAAAAAAAAAAAAAGTATTTAAAAAAGAAAGGTAATCATATGAAGCCATTTATTATCACATAGTTGTTTGGTTTATTTCAAAACATAATAGCAGAAATCATCCAAAAATGGTCCTGATCAAAAGTTTACATACCCTGGAATGTTTGGCCTTGGTACAGACATACAAGGTGGCACACACAGGTTAATTTCCCACATCTGTGGCTTTTTAAATTGCAATTAGTGTTTGTGTCAAATTGTCAATGAGTTTGTTAGCCCTCACTTGGATGCACTGAGCAGGTTAGATACTGAGCCATGGGGAGCAGAGAACCCATCAAAAGACCTGTATAACAAGGTAATGGAACTTTATAAAAATGATGGAAAAGGCTATAAACAAACTAAAAAAGACAAATGTGGTGGCTTCAAACAAGCACAATATAACAATACTTGAACAAAATTGACCTGCATGGTCGAGTTGCCAGAAGGAAGCCTTTATTGTACCAATGCCGAAAAAAAAAAAAAGGGGGTACAATATGCATAACCACACTTTGACATGCCTCACAGCTTCCGGCACACCAATCTGGAGTGACTAGACCAAAATAGAGCATACCCCCATAGGTGCTATGTTTGGAGAGAGGTTAATAAGGTTTAACTTAACGCTGTGAAGCATGGTGGTGGCTCACTGATGTTTCGGGGGTGTGTAAGCTCTAAAGACATGGGGAATCTTGTGAAACTTGATGGCAAGATGAATGCAGCATGTTATCAGAAAATACTGGCAGACAATTTGCATTCTTCTGCACGAAAGCTGCACATGGGACAATCTTAGACTTTCCAGCATGACAAAGACCCTAGGCACATGGCCAAGTTGACCCTCCAGTGGTTACAGCGGAAAAAAGTCTGGGGAGATCTCAAACATGTGGTTCATGCAAGGCAAAGATTTCATGATCTGGAGCCATTTTGCCAAGGTGAATGGGCAGCACACAGTCATTGATAAAGGGAGTAAAACACAATATTAAGAACTAAGGGTATATAGACTTTTGAACAGGGGTAATTTCATTTATTTGTTGCCATGTTTTGTTTTATGATGATGCCATTCTGTTATGACCTACAGTTGAATATGAATCCCATCAGAAAAACAAACAAAAAAAAAAAAAAAATGTGTTTTGCCTGCTCACTCATGTTTTCTGGAAGAATTGGTAATCTAAAGTTCCAATTTTAAAGCATATGCAAACTTTTTAGCACAACTGTATATCTATAAAAAATAGCCATCACATTATTTGAGGTAAATGCCCAGGTGCTCACCCAAAGACATCCAGTTTAAAGTTCAAAATAGGAAAAGAGGCACATGTGGGTCTTGCAGTGCAGATATGTCAAAGCAATGGCATTTTATTATCTCTTTCCATGGAGTTCAGTCCAACTTGCTTTGGCTTATCTCTACTGGAAGACCCGCAAGTGCCTCTACAGACCTGGCCAAAAGTTTTAAGAATGACAAGTATTCATTTTTGCAAAGTCTGCTGCTTCAGTGTTTTTAGATCTTTTTGCCAGATGTTACTATGGTATACTGAAGTATAATTACAAGAATTTCGTAAGAGTCAAAGGCTCTTATTGACAATTACATTAAGTTAAAGCAAAATAGTAAATTTTTGCAGTGTTGACCCTTCTTTTTCAAGACTCCTGCAATTTGTCCTAGCATACGGTCAATCAACTTATGGGCCACATCCTGACTGATGTGTGTGGTGTGTGTGTGTTGGGGATGTTTGTTCACCCGCTTCTTGAGGATTAACCACAAGTTCTCAATTGGATTAAGGTCTGGCGAGTTTCCTGGCCATGGACCCAAAACTTCAATGTTATGCTCCCCAAGCCACTTCGTTATCACTTTTGCCTTATGGCAAGGTGCTCCATCATGCTGGAAAAGGCATTGTTCATCACCAAACTGTTGATGGATGGTTGGGAGAAGTTGCTCTTGAAGGATGTTTTTGTATTCATGGCTGTATTCCTGGGCAAAATTGTGAGTGAGTCCACTCCCTTGGCTGAAAAGCAACCCCAGACATGAATGGTCTCAGGATGCTTTACTGTTGGCATGAAACAGGACTGATGACAGCGCTCCTTTTCTTCTCCGGTTTGTTTTGGATACCACAAACAATCTGAAAGGGGATTCCACAGAGTAAATGACTTTACCTCAGTCCTCAGCAGTCCAAACACTATCTTTTGCAGAATAGCAGTCTGACTGATGTGTTCCCTGGAAGAAAGTAGCTTCTTTACTGCCCTTATTGGCACCAGGCCTTCCTCCACAAGTCTTCACTTCACTGTGCGTGCAGATGCACACATACCTGCCTGCTTCCAATCCTGAGCAAGCTTTGCACTGGTGGTACCCCGATCCCACAGCTGAATCAATTTTAGGAGACTGTTCTGGCACTTGCTGGACTTTCTTGGGTGCCCTGGAGCCTGCCTCACAACTGAACTGCTCTCCTTGAAGTTCTTGATGATCTGATAAATGGTTGATTTAGGTGCAATCTTAGTAGCAGCAGCGTGCAACGGAATGGCGACTGCATGCGTTTCCTTGCAGGTAAATTAATGTGTGTCATTCTAAAAACTTGTGGCAAGGGCTGTATACCTATTTTGGACACATATTGGATAGGAAATACAAAAACAGCACTATCTAGAGTTCTCTATTTCAGAGATGAAAAAACAAGGCAATAAAAGCTATATGAAATATCAATTGCTGTAGTATAATATTCTGTGGACTGCACAGTTCAGCCATGCCCAGTGTGAGTGCAACCCAAATTCATTAGGCTATCTAGAAAATATTTGGTGAATTTGATTTTGCGAATAAACTGGCCTTTCATAAAAAAAAAAAAAAAAAAAAAAAAAAAAAAAAAAAAAAAGGAATTTTATTGATGCACCTATTTGCACTGTATTTTTTCTTTTCAATAGATGTTTATTGGTTTTTTAATATTTCAAGTACAAAGTACAAATTAGACCGCTTTCAAAGACAAATACAGAATTACAACCAGAAACAGTAGTTAACAGCGGTTTTAAAAGTATGAAGTATAGTTAAAGTAAGTAGCGATTTGGATAACTTGTCCAAAAACAGAGGTAGAACAAACATTTCGTGTCAGACAGGTAATTAGTGTATAAAAAGGTTGTTTGATTGTAGGTCAACAGCCGACATCATTAAAGAAAACTATAGCGATGAAGATATGCTGAAATGACAGCAAAATAGAAGATGTAAAGACATCATGTAGTTCAGGAGGCATCCCTGCGGAAGAGCCGAAAAAAAAAAAACAGAAATTAAAAAGAGAGGAGAGGAAGAGAAGGGAGACAAATAAGTGGACGATCGCAGCGCTTGAATTCAGTTAGTGAGGTATGGTTGGGTTACAGTGAAGTAAAGCTATTTGCTGAGATTTCCGGGTCGGAATATTGAATCCATGGAGTCCAAGTTTTAAGGAATCTCTCATGGGTGTCAGAGTATACTAGCCAGTTTTTCGTTTATTAGTAAGAAGTGAAGGCGGCGATGAACTTCTGTGAAGGATACGAATTCCAGGCTTTCGCTATGGTTTGTTTGGCTGCCAATAGTATGTGGGTGGCTAGCTTAAATTTGTGTTTAGGCAGACCCGGAGGTTTTAAAATGCAAGACCGTGTACCATGGGTCTCTCAGGAAGGGGTAGGTGAGTAACATTTGAAGTAATTTGAGTTTTGACCAAAAATCAGGAGATCATAGGGCATGTCCACCATATGTGTAGGACATCGCCTGATGTGTCACAGCTGCGAAAACAAGTGTTGGGGACTGATAAGTGAAGAAGAGCTAGGCAGGAAGGGACAAGATGCCATCTTGTCACTGTTTTGAAGGCTGATTCCATAGTGAGGACATTGATTGAGCACGAGGTCAGGGTTAACCATATCTGTGACCAATATGCATGATCTTTAGGGCCTTTGAGGCCTCTTTCCCATCTGGAGACATAAGCGTGGCTATTAGGGTTCCATCAGGTTAGTTAATGAGTACAAGACTTAGACAAGTTTAGGAGAGAGAGGCGTCCGGTGGCAAATATGTTCAAACAGGGATAGTTGTGTGGTTGGATCTTTATGAGTGAGGATCAAACTTACCCAATGCTTTTGAGCTGTAGATAGTTGAAAATTTCCGTGAAGGGGGGGGGGGGGGGGGGGGGCCTTGTGTTTGTCCCTTATTTCCACCCAGGTGGAAACTGAGCGGCATGTAAGAAATGAGTGAATACAATGAAAGCTGTGGGAGGTTCACCAATGAAAGGAGGGGGGAGATTCCCTGTGTGAGCATGTGTGTTTAGTTACCCGAGATTGATTGTTGGCCCAGATAAAGCGCAAAACGTGATTTTGAAAAGATTTCAAGGCATAAGAGGGAATCGGGACCGGGAGAATGCAAAATAGGTATAAAGGTTTGGGGAGGATGGTAGTTTTTTTTTTTTTTTTTTATTGCATTTATACTACCCATCCACAAGAGGGGTTGGTGTGACCAGGTAGTGAGAAGTGTTTTGAGGGAGCAGAAAGCTGAGGTGTAATTGGCCACGTATAGGGTATAGGAGTTTGTAAGGTTAATCCCCATTAATTCTAAATGCGTGGGGGGACAAGAAAAACTGTAATTTTGTTTTAGTAGGTTTATGTCTGCTTCGGGAGGGAAACGTCAAGAGCTGAAGATTTGTCTGTTTCCTACCAGACCTGATATACTGGAGAATCTGGTTAAGATGGAGAAAAAAGTGAGCAAGGAGGTATGCGGTTGAGTCAGGGAAAGAAGCAGATCGTCAGCAAAAGCGCTAACTTTAAAAGTTTGGTGGGCAATTGGAACCAGTTTGATATCTGGGTTGGATCTTAAGAGATGGAGTAAGGGTTCCAGGGCTAAAACGAACAGTATTGGGGACAGGGGACATCCTGATGTGTTTTCCTCTTTGAATAGAGAAAGGGGAGGATTGTCTGAAGAGATAGCAAACCGTTGCAGAGGGTCCATGGTACCTATACCATGGTGCCTTCACCCAGGACATGAAGACGGCTGCGAAGCCTCATTTTTCCAGTGTGTAGTAAATGTATTTCCAAGAGAGTGAATCAAATGTTTTGTGTATGTCTAGGTTCAGGGCCATGCTGGGAGAAGCAAGTGAATTACATGAATAACCCTACGGAGGTTGTCCTAAGCCTGTCGAAGGGGGACAAAGCCTCACTGATCTTTGTGGATGAGGTGGTGTAAGGAGGACTTAATTCTAGTGGCAAGAATTTTTGCCAATATTTTGACGTCGACATTTAATAGTGAAATGGGTCTAAAGTGCACTGTATTTTTTATTTGCATTAGTGACCCCACAGACAAAATGTCAGTGCTTTGTAAAATTAGCTAAATTACAAACCTTCCTGGCGGTGGCACAGCTCTTCCATCGTCTACACGTCTATCATAATCTCCCCACGCATCACGCTCTCTCCCATGACGATCTGAGTAATTCTAAAGAATAAAAGGGGGGGGGGGGGAATATTTACGTCACTACTGGGTGGAGTGGGGGACTGGCCGTCAGAGCAAAAAAAAAACAAAAAAAAAAAACAAAAAACCTCATACGGTGTTCTATAATACACTTACCATATCTCTGCCTCCCATGCCAGACCTTGAATCATCTCTCCTAAAGAAGAAAAAAATTTAATTTTTTTTTTCCTTTTAGACATAGACGTACCAAAGCAGCGATGCACTTAACCACCCAGGGTATCATTTACAAGGGCAGTGAGTTTGCAGGTCTTAAAGTGTACATTTGCTCCTGAATGCTTTTCTTAACCCAAAAGGGATACTGCAATGCGCCATAATCACTTGCCAAAAGGTTGGCATGCAGCTATGCGAATTCCTTTGGACTTCTTTTTACAAGTTATACTGCCTCCCAAATGTGACATGCTGAATTAAACAAGCCGCACTTGAAACATTTTACCGCAGTGTTATGAATGGACCTGGGAATCTGCCATGTTATTTTGCAGGTGGGGAGTCAAAAATACAGATCAACCTTTTGTTTTACCACCAAAATTATTATTGATAAATTATGATATGCAATATTTGTGATTGTAACGCAATTAGGGTTCAAGTGTACTTTATTTTTAAAGTCTTTAAATACATGATCATTTAGAACATGAGAATGTAGCTTCTGCCAAAAAAAAAAAAATCCTGGTTAGTTTACTTCTTTCCTGTCACTTATTTAACTAGAAAAACCTCAGGAGGTTTTGCCCCTTGGTCTCACCCTCACCCGCCATCCATGGCCTTCTTACACCACAGAACAAGTCCCCCAGCCGGGTTGAGAACCCCACAGAAGTCTATAGGAGTGTAATGCATGCAGGCAGAGTTTTGGAGCACAGATCTGTGGAGGGGGAGGGTATGGCACTTTAGGTTCAGTGTGTAAAAGAAAAAAAAAAAACAAAACAAAAAAAACAAAACACCAGGGCGGTTGTACAGAAGTAGATCTACTGCAATCAGCCAATCCACCATACATTGATCGAAATATGGCTTGGGGGGGGGGGTGAACAGAAGAAAAGGGGTCTGCCTTACGGGTAAAAAGAAAAGATGCCTGATGCCACCCATGGCGCCATCACTGCCACAGAGTTGCAACTACAATAGACACGAATGAGAGACATGAGCTTGCACAGACCACCAAGAACAAAGTGTCTTCTGATGGAAAAACACCTCCGTCGGGTAAGCACCAACAGCCCTGACCACATTTAGAGAGTGAAAAGCAATCTTACTAGGATGTGATGGCAAAAGAATGGGAACACAATGTCTTCCAAGTAAAACGAGGAAATGACCATAGGCAGGAAATACAGCCTAAGTTTCTGGACCACCTTGTCCGTCTGAAGGACAAGAAAAGTAACAAGACAAAGATGCAAGACCAGAACCGCCTAAGTAATGGTAATGGGGAAGGCCAACCTTTTGCAAGTCCTGGGAGTCCTAGCAGGGTAGCCAAGATAACGAACACCCTGGGTTAGGGTACCAAAAACCAAGGGTTGATAAAACAGAATAGGCAACCCATCCCCATTCCAGTCCCTTGACGGTGGTTAGGTACCAAGCGATTATCTATACCTGACTGAAGAAAACTCAGGATCCATGCAAGGTATGGCTCTTTGAAAAGAAAGGAAAACAAATATTTAACCGCCCCCCCCAAAACAAATTTTTTTTTTTTACCCGCAAGGCAGACACCTTCCCCCCCCAGCCTAATTTCGATCCGTGTACTCACAGAAAGGTCCCGGTCTGCTCTTTCGATCGTCGCGCGGGCACATTATCCCTAAACCCTGCCCCACCCATCCCGCCTCCCGGCTTCTGAAACTCTTAAAGGCCTGGGAGTCGCCGGCAGCAAGGGGTTAAACAAGGTACCCTCAGAAAACTCCACAGCAACTGAACTGACATCCATATTAGGCATCAAAAGTAAGTTTCACTATCTGTTCTTTGTGGGTGCATCATTGTTAAATGTTAGGAAGCATTTAAAAATAACCATGTGGTTTGGGTGATCTGTTGGTGATAAGACTCCGATATGAGTATCGGAAGTATGATACTGGGCCTGGTGAGGCCATTGCGGTAATATACAGATCTTGGAAAACACACACAGCAGGAAAGTCATTTTGAGTACATCTAAATCTGGGAATCTGGCAAAATAGAGAGGAACAGACAGGCCACCGCAATGAATAACCGCATCTGGAGTCCAGTATGACCCTATACAAAAAGATGGCTGCTGGGATGAACATCCAGGATCTAGAGGTCCTGTATAAAAGCTTAAAAGGGTAAAAGCTGGAGAAGGAACTTCAGCTGCTTTATGGGGCTCCACCCTTTGCTTTGCCTTAAGTTCATGTAGAAAAAGGTCTTACAATAACAAAATTACCTGTCCATGTGCATATGATCCATAAATCGACCACGATCTCTATTCTCAAAATCATGAAATCTGTCTGGTCTTCCAAAATCTCGATATCGATCGTCCAAAGCCATACGTTTTGAATCTGGCCAGTATGACTCATCTCTCCTACACACAAAGCACAAAAAAAAATTTTTTTTTAAAAAAAATGTAAAAAAAAAATGTAAAAAAAAAAAAAACAAAAAAAAAAAAACATATATAAAACCAGTAGCAAACACAAAAAAAAAAAAAAACACACTAAAGCTTGCATTAAGAATATTAGGATTTCATTGGAATCCCGCAACGCAATGTTGGCTGGATTCATCAGTCTGCATATTTCAGGTTTGCGCTTTTATGAACGGCTATGGTTAACTGAAAAGGAGCTAGTTTCTACGTGTGACTTGAAATAGAGTATGGTGGTGGTGTGTTAGGGGGGAAAAAAAAAAAAAAAAAAAAAAAAACGTTTAGGCTAGGAAAGCGAGAAAGGATTAGAACTCTAATGGAGCCCTGTATAGCTGTAAAAAGCCAAAATGGAGAGCCTTAGACTGGCCATACATTATACAATTTTTTTGAGATTTTTGGTTTAGATTTACCAAAAATCATATAATATAGGTCAAACCTAACACTTCCAATTGTATCCAATTAGGCAGGCCCTTGCACTACATAGCTGAAGGTAAATCTAAAGAAATTGAACGGAAAATTGTATAGCGTATGGCCAGCCTTACTCTCACTTTCTGTCCTGCTGACAATGGTTTTAGCAAACAAATCTGCAACAGCAGCACAAGGAGAATTAAAAACTTTACAGGTCAAGCCCCCTCCTTTATTTCAGTCAGTTGTTGAAGAGTTCACTCACTTCCCATCTGGGAAAAAGCTGTTAGGACAGGAAATAGAGATACAACTCTAATGTAGCCCCAGATAGATTTGGAAAGGGTTAGCACCTGTGTCAAATTTCTAAGTCTAAGAAAACATGGTTTTGACTGGACATACACTAAGTTAATGATTAAGTAAATTTGATGTTGCTTTACAGGCATTCCAATATATAAGGTAGAGACATGACTCCTGGTTTCAAAAGACAAGAACAGAAGTAATAAGGGGGCATTTAACTACTCTAAAATTGAATAAAAAAACCGTACTGCTGGCACAGCAAAAAGGCCAAAAAATTGTATGCACTTGTAATATTTCTAAGGTTCTTCTGTTTCATGTTCTATTAACAAGTACATACTGGAAGGCCAAAACAATGGTAATTTTGTACATACTGCCCCCTTTCCTGGAGTCCACTGAGGGACACAGCAATCCAATTAAGATACCATGAGTTATGCTCCTACAGGACAATTGCACACTTTGCAAAAAAAAAAAAAAAAAAAAAAAATATATATATATATATATATATATATATATATATATATATATATATATATATATATATATATATATATATATATATATATATATATATATATATTTATATTCTGGTCAATGAAATGAATTCACGGCTTAACATGTTGCACACTTTTACAAGGATCAGCCGGTTTTTTGCCAAAACGCTGCTGCCAGGAGGAAAGAAAACATCCTGAGTGCATGAGTGTCACAAAGTTAAACAGGTCGCCCTAATACAATGAGATTGAGATTACAAACTCTTGTCAGTAGGATCCTTAAAAGCATCTTCCACTGGGATAGTCATGGCCTTGCTGTGGCACAACACCTGAGAGTCCATAGCAGGAGAAAAGGGTAGAGAGAAAAAGAAAAAAAAAAACCCTGACCTGTCTGCAAAAAGTTTTTTTTTTTTTTTTTTTTTTTTTTTACAAGGATAGGGAACACTCAAAGGGCTGGGATTTATAGGACTGTTTTGGTAACGAGGCCGGCGACAAAGTCAGAGTGGGAGATCTCAGAGAGGTTAGGAATTTAGTCTTCAGTCTTTGGCAAAGCTTCGAGCAACATTAAAGTGGAATATCACTTTTTCAAAGAACATGGACTATTTTAATCCTCATGCTGCTAGCATTAGTAAATGGATAGATAAGTATATTGTTTTTCACTTTTTTTTTTTATATTTCTACCTGGTTTCCATGCCTAGGAGAATTACATCATGCATGCCTTTCAGGAAGGGGAGAGGGTTTTTCTGAGCTAAGCATGCACTAAGGGCAGATGGATTATAGGAAGTAAATGCTACGTGAATTCTCAAGATGTCCACTGCCTGAATTGCTAGGAGGTGTTTTTCAAAGTAAATTCTCATCAAAATAAAGCATGGAGGCATGGATGGATGAGTTTGCTTTGAATATTCAAAATGAATTAAATAGTTTTTGGTTTGCGGTGCTCAATACGCAAAATTGAACTGGCCTGGCATGGGGGGAGTTGGCTTCCAGCAGCAAACAGGAGGCAGAGCAGGAACTAGACAGGCAGCTCCTGTTTTGAGAAGACATCGTCTCTCCTCTCAGAGCCTCATGAGTGTGTACTCTTATTCACATCAGAGTTTTATTTTAGCTTCAAAGACATAAGTCCAGGAGGAGGGATGAATTCGTGGAGTTCAGCTTTAGAATAAATAGTAAAAAGACTAGGTTCAAACATGCAGTCCCACAAACAGAAGAGGGGAGTAAGTGCCAGCTACCTGAAGAAACCAGTCTATAACCCAGGGTCTATGAATATGCAGCCTACACCTAGTAAGTACCTGTAAGTTTAAACGGATAAAACCCAGAACAAAAATGTAGATTACAGATGTGGCTGCATTAGCTTTAATTTTTCAGGCTAAAAACATTTTCAGCAATTAAAGAAAATGCCTGTTGATCTGGCCAGAAACGAAGCGTCCTTGTCACTTTCTGTGAGATCATGGTCTGTAAACTGCTAATCTCAAAACCATGTTATGAAGATGAAGTCACGTATGACGTCCAGCTTAGTAACAATGGCTTCATCTACAGCTACAGTGGAGCGAGCGATTGTAGAGCCACACTAGAACAGAGGTTTGATGTTCACAGGATAACCAAGTGAATAAACCCTAAACAAGGCTAAATTCAGTCACCTCATTTAAGGCTGGTAAGCTAAACTATAGTCAATTTTTATTTTTGGATTTAGATAACTTTTAAAAGGAGATAACGAAGCTGAAAAAAGGAGTTTGTAAAAAAGTGGTTAGAATCTTTGCAACGCATAGAATTTATCCAGAAATAGAAATCGAGTGATCATTTTTATTAGACAACGTCCCTTTTTTTGCAAGCGATTAATTTAACCAGTATCTCAGTAAATGTTAAATACTTTTTAATTTTACCTCCCATCCACATCATAAGGCCTTCTCATCCCTCGGCGATCCTGCTCATAACGCAAACGCTCTTGCTGTCGTCGCAATTCTTCTCTCTCTCTTTGGATACGCTCTTGTTCAATCAGCCTCTCTTCCTCTATTCGCATTCTCTCCCTTTCCAATCTTTCTCGCTCCATTCGCTCCCTGTCAAGTCTCTCTCTTTCAAACTGAAGTCGAACACGTTCTCTCCGTAATCTCTCTCGCTCTTCTCTTTCACGCATCATGAAGAGTCTCTCTCGTACTCTTCTATCTCTTTCCCTGTTGAAAAAAATAAAAGTAAACGCTCAAAATGCTGTATTTTACAAATTACAAATGCAAATTTTAAGGCACGTACCCTTTGTCTGGCGAGACTCTCTCTACCTAAACAAACATACATTCTATGAAACTGACTTCAACAAGCTGACAAAGGGGAGTTGGGTGTGTTATGTACTCCTCCGATGTGTTTAGCTGTAGGTGTAAATATAAGCATGAGCTACTGAGCTGTGTTAACAGGCTTTTCAGTAAGAGCAGATAGGAAAGCCTGGCAAGATATTATATGCATATTGTATTGTTGGTGTGCATAATCTGTACATGTGCACCTACACATAAATATTGATAAGTGCATTGAGAGCCAATTTTAAACCTAAAACAAAATTCTTGCCCAAGAGTAGTACAGGTGTACAAGTAAAGTGAAATCTAATACTGACATGTGACAAGGAGCTTAAAATTGGGACATTTACTAATTCTGTCACAAAGCTAGGCTAAAGAGATTGTGGAAAGGATTAAGTACAAGGTTAAAGCCTAAATAATAAATTCCTCCCTAAAATTGTTCTAAAGTAGCACTGACAGAATACAACCTGAACCTGATCAGTATTAGGCTACTTTCACACTGATCCACGGTTTTTACCACATTGGTGATGCATGTTTTTTTACAAGACGTGACTCAAGAACGCAACATGGTTGCATTTTTTTTATGCGTTTCCATTGGTTTCAATGGGAAGGTGCGTTTTTTTACTGCACCAAAACATGCAGGAAGCAGGATTTTTATAAATGTACCGGACCCTGAAGGGATCAGTGTGAAGACGTTACCCAGTATTATTCCACTTTGTTTTTTTATTTTTCCCAAAAGTCAAAAGTGGAAGAAAAGTGAACAGTGTGAAAGTGGCCTTGATGTATTAGTGAGTCAAAGTGTATGAGCATGGTGCCTCTCTCTTGAAAAAAGACCTACTGCGCATATTCACAGGTCTGAACCATGAATAGCATTGATAGTAAGGTGCGAAGCTGGTGTGCTAACAAGAAACTGGCAGGATCACCAGATTTTTAACGGCTCTTTGCAAGCCACGCTATTTAAAAGCTCACATACTTAAGTTAAACAGTAGTCCACAAATTAGAGTTTTATTATAATTATATACACACACTAAGGTTTTCAGGTGCAGTCATTTTCTTACACAGGCAACTGAGAAAAACATACCTCTGTCTCTCCATTTCTCTGATCTCTCTCTCTCTTTGCCTCTGACGCTCCCGCTCTCTCTGCTCTTTAATTTTTTCAAAGGATAGTATTTCTCTCTTTTCTTTACTTCCAGACTTTCGGTCTTGACTTTTGGAACTCTAAAATAAATTAAAAAAAAAAAAAATAAAACCAATAAAGCACACAAAAAACAAACAAAAGAAAAAAAAGAAAAAAAGTATTTGTCCATGTAGGAGCCTTTCAGTACATGACATCAGGGAAATGTACTTTGGTCCAAAACACACATACACCATTTCTCTTCCCTAGGGTCTAAAGTTGTGTTTTAACTGATCTGAAAAAGGTCATGTGCAAATCACATACGTAGGTTTACATTCTTCTTGCCCTACAGACTCTTAATCTACAAAACAGGCTTTAACTAAATTATAGGCTCTGTGCTGTCTTTGTTCAGCACAATACTAGTTTGAGGAGGAGTTTTTAAAGTATCTGGATCTGGCAGTAAAGGGCTGCTAGCTTGTCAGTATTCTTCTAGTCTACATAACAGATGACAGCGAATAGCAGGTGTACCAAAAAAGTGTTAGACATCTTCGGGACTGTAAATTAATCTAGACTAGGTACAGCACTGGTAGAAACTACAGTCTGACCTTCATTTTTGTAAGTCTCACTCAATATATAAAACTAGGAGAGTACTTTCCATGAAGAGTTGCACCAGGTTTTGCAATTAGCTTCCAGGTTTTTTTGGTCAAAGATTAATTGAGCAAGCTGAAGTTGGAAGCCGATTGGCTACCATGCACAGCTTCACCAGATTTGCACCCTCCAGTTTTAATAAATCAACCCATTGTGTCAATAAGCGCATAGATGGTCAATATCTGGGAGGTAGGGCAGAGAACTGACTTTTCTGGGTGAACGGCATCTGTTATGGACTTAGACTCAGCCTCATACAGTTTCAGCAGCTGAAGGGTCAGAGGACATGGGCAGAAGAGAGGATTCTGCTGGAGGCACCCTGCAAGCCAGCTTGTGACATCAGACAGCAATCAAATTTGCCATTTGGTTGATTTTAGTAGATGAAGAGAACTCCCAAACAAAAATAAAAGTGATCCTTTTGAAAAGTGCAAGGTAGTCAAGACACTAACATTGCACTATCCGCAACACGCCATACTAAAGTGAACCTTTCCACTTGCACAGGACTGGTCAGACTAGCTCAAACTAATACTTCCTCCACTCCAACTACTGACAAGCTTATTGACTCGTGTGAGTGACAACAGTTTTTATTCAGTCAAAAGTTTTTAAAAGTGCTAAACCAAGTAGGTGCACCTTTTGTTTGAATTTTATCAAAAAAATGTAAAGTACATCTGACTAGTGGTAAAATATACATTACTAGACCAAGTTCTTTCAATGATGGCGGTTCTTAAATTTTCCCATGACATCTTACCTTAATTTCCTGAGTAACAAGAGAAACTACAGAAACCTAATCAAGTTGCATCTCGGAAAATGTGACCTGGTGATCAATGTACAAAATTCTGTTTTAGAATATCCTTCTAGGTTCTACTGGCAACACCTGCTGGGACATATGTCCAACGCATCACTGGCAGTTCTGCTTCTACAGAACAAAGTCTGTCAAATTCTGTAACATAATAGTACATGCACCTGTTTAGAAATTTCTAATCGGTCATTCACAATGCTGATCTGAGATTTTCACACACAACCATCTCTAGAGTTTACAGAGAATGGTTTGAAAAGAGAAAATATCCAGTGAGTGGCAGTTGTGTGGACGAAAATGCCTTGTTGATGTGAGAGGAGAATGAGCAGACTGGTTTTAACGAGTCGTTGAGTTACTGTGTCCTATCATCTCGAACCAAAGTATGCAGAATACCATCTCTGAATGCACAACACGTAGAACCTTGAAGCAGATGGGCTACAGCAGCAGCAGACCACACCAGGTAGCAAGGTGTAACCAATAAGTTATCAGTGAGAGTGTGAAATATAATACAATTTCACACTATACTGCCAATAGTATTGAGACACCTGGCTTTTCACACACATGAACTTTAATGACATCCCAGTCTTAGTCCGTGGGGTTCAACATTGGGTTAACCCACCCATTGCAGGTATAGCAGCTTCACCTTTCTGGGAAGGCTGTCCACAGGGTTTAGGAGTGTGTCTACGGGAATGTTTGACTATTCTTCCAGAAGCACATTTGTGAGGTCAGGAACTGATGCTGGACGAGAAGGCCTGGCTTGCAGTCTGTGCTCTAATTTATCCTAAAGGAGTTCTATCGGGTTGAGGTCAGGACTCTGCAGGCCAGTCAAGTTCCTCCACCCCAAACAAGCTCAATCCATGTCTTTATGGACCTTGCTTTGTGCACTGGTGTGTGCAGTCATGTTGGAACAGGAAGGGGCCATCCCCAAACTGTTCCCAAAAAATTGGGAACATGAATATGTCCAAAATGTCTTGGTATGCTGACGCCTTAAGAGTTCCCTTCACTGGAACTAAAGGGCCAATCCCACACCATAATGCCCCCTCCTCCAAACTTTACACTTAGCACAATGAAGTCAGGAAAGTACCATTCTCCTGGCAACCGCCAAACCCAGACACGATCAAATTGCCAGACGAGAAGCGTGATTCGTCACTCCAGAGAACACATCTCTACTGCTCTAGAGTCCAGTTGTGGCATGCTTTACACCACTGCATCAGACACTTTACATTGCACTTGGCGATGTGGGGCTTGGAGGCAGCCAAATTCATTTCATGAAGCGCTCTACGCACTGTTGTGCTAATCTGAAGGCCACATGAAGTTTGGAGGTCTTAAGCTATTGACTGCAGACAGTTGGCGACTTCTGCACACTGTGCACTTCAGCATGCACTGACCCTGCTCAGTCATTTTTCATGGCCGAGTTGCTGTTATTCCCAGTTGCTTCCACTTTATTACAATACCACTAACAGTTGACTCTGGAATATATAGCAGCAAGGAAATTTCACGGATGGACTAATTGCACAGGTGGCAAACTATCATAGAACTTCGCTTGAATTCAAAGAGCTCCTGAGAGCGACCCATTCTTTCACAAATGTTTGTAGAAGCAGTCTGTATGCCTAGGTGCTTTATTTTATATACCTGTGGCCATGGAGGTGATAGGAACACTTGAATCCAAGGATTTGGAGGGGTGCCCCAATACTTTTGTCAATATAGTGTATACACACAAAAAAAAAAAAAAAAAAAAAAAAAAAAAAAAAAAAAGGAACACTACATGATTTGCAGTTTTGAAAGTGAATGACATGTTTTGCGTTAAAAGCGGAACTTGTGTAACATTCTTTTGCTTCCGCCGTGTGATGAGACACCTAGCCAACAGGTGGGTGCGAAATTTAAAAGAGGGCAAATTGTTGGTGCCCTCTTAGCTTGTGCCTCTGACTGAAGTTGCAAATTTGCTTGCCATTTCGTGAGGTACAGTAACAAAAAGGTAATGATCTACATCTAAAACTTCTGGGAAAAACATCTTTTAAAGCATAAGTGCAGTCGACATGGTCAATTGACCAGAAAAAAAAAAAAAAAAAGACATTGCGCAGGATTGTGACCCAGAATAAGAACAAAACTGCTGCAAAACTGACTGCAGAGCTCAATCTCAGTCTCCCAAGACCCATGACCACAAAAACTGCGGAGGGAACTCCATAAACAAAACATTCACAAGTTAGCTGCAATTGCCAAACCACCAGTGACCGATAATACTCAGAAGAAGAGGAGAGAGTGGTGCTACACCCATAAATCATGGACTATTGATCAATGGAAGACTGTAATATGGTCCAATGAATCGAGCTTCACACTGTTCCCAACCACTAGACGCGTTTACGCTCAGGACTGTCTTAAGCTTACACCCAGGACTGTCTTGTGCAACAGCATGTTGGCAGCACAATCATGGTTAGGGCAGCCATATCTTGGTATTCTATGGGCAAAATCATCACCTTGAAAGGTAGAGTCACTGCCAGCGACTATGTACAAATTTTGGCCGACCATGTGCACCCAATAGTGCAGACAGTACCATTTACCAAGATAATGCTCCGATTCACACAGCCAATGTGGTGAAATCATTAGGTGATGAGCATGCAGATGAAGTCTCACACCTTCCCTGGGCACCACAGTTGCTGGACCTCAATGTCATACAGCCACTATGGTCAATTTTGGAGAACAAGGTGTGCAAACAGAATAAAACTGGGAAATGGACAGCCATACTAAAAACGTCAGACTACAACCGATGTAAAATCTTGCACAATGGCCAAGTGACAAAACAAAAACACTTTCATCCTGCATGAGCAAGGTCTCTCTCAAGCAGAAATTTTGTGGCCGAAAGGTGTTTGCAGATGTACTACAAACCTCATATAGCTACTGCTTTGGATAATATGAGTTTCAAAAGCTGTAAAGTTATGTGAACAAGTGGCAAATGAATAACCATTGTTGAAACTGCTGTGACAGAACATGTAAGGTCTACAATGCCGTTAATTCTAGCAACAAAAAGACAAAGGAGAGCAATTCTGTAGTCTCTACATTTGTGCACACTGCTCAGACAAATGAAGTGAACACAGAATCCCATTATATACATTAGAAGTAATATGCCCTTTAACCACCTCAGCCCAACATGCCACAGGGTTGAAGTGGTTATACTAGGATGAGGTCTGCAGCTACAGGCAACATCCAAGTATCTTTTTTTTTTTAGACAGCGATGCTCTTTTTTGCAAAAGTAATCCTAGTGGTGAATTAGCCACTGGATCACTTTTACAAGCGGCAGAAGTTCATCTCTTGTGATAGCAATAAAATTGCTCACAAAAAAAAAAAAAAAAAAAAAAAAAAAAAAAAAAAAAAAAAATGCACCCATCGGTCCCGCACGCATACGCAAGCAGCGACTGGCACCACAAATGTTAGGTATCACTGCAAACGTCAGATTGAGAACAATAATTCTAGCACCAGATCTCCAGTGTCAAACCTGTAAAGGCTTTAAATGTGTCACCTATGGGTAATTTGATGTACTGTAGTTTGTCACTGTTCCATGGGCTTCTGCAATTTTAACCACTTGCCTGCTGGGCACATTTACCCCCTTCCTGCCCAGGCCAATTTTCAGCTTTCAGCGCTATTACACTTTGAATGACAATTGCATGGTCGTGCAAGACTGTACCCATATGAAAAGGTTTCTTTTTTTTTTTTTCACAAAATAGAGCTTTTTAGTGGTATTTATCACCACTGGGATTTTTTTTTCACTATAAAAAAACTAAAAAAATTTTTTTTTGTGGGGGGGAGGAAGAAAAGTTTTTTGTTCCTATTTTTCTCCTTCACGAATGTGCGTTGAGGAGGCAGCACTGGCGGGCATTGATGAGGCACTGATGATGCTGCACTGATGGGCACTAATACCTGACACTGAATGGCAGCACTGCTGGACACTTTTGAAGCGATAATCAGTGCCCCGATTATCAGTGCAGTTGTCTCGACAGTTGCCTGTTAACGGCAGTACTTTCCGCACGCTGTGACAGCATGAGGAAAGTACTGCCAATAACTGGCAAGTGTATTTACACAGTGTTCAGCTGTGATTGGATACAGCTGACCATGTGGTAAAAGACTGCAGTGATTGGCCTTTTACCATGTCATGTGATCAGCTTTGTCCAAAGAACACAGACAACACCGAGTGCACGCCACGAGGGGGCATGTTCTAGGACGATGGCATTTGACGCTGTAGCCATCATTCAGCTATAACGTGGTAAGGAAGTGGTTAAAGAGTGTCCAGTATCATTATTCTGTAACAATATTTTATATTTTACTGAAAGAAAAAAAAAAAAAAAAAATGGGCATTTTATGGTGTTTGTGTACAATAAAATTCATTAAGAGTATTTTCCCCCAAAAAATTTTCAAACATACAGTAAACATACCGTGACATAAAAAAATTGAAACAACCACCATTTTACTCTCCAGAGCTTCATTTTAAAAATATATTGTTTTAAGGTTCTAAGTAATTTTCTACCAAAAAAATGCAGTTTACATATATGTGAGAAATGTCAGAACAGGCTAAAGTGGTTAAATATACATACCCTTTCCTTTGAGTCAGACGATGTTTTCACGCTGATTACAGGCTCCCCCTTTGACTTATCCATAACAACTGTCCTTTCAGTTCCTCTACTTCCTAAAATATTAAGTGTGCACATTAAAGGGGAAATTGCCACTGTTAACAATGGGAAATTTGCCAGAGTAAGCGGTATAAATAACAAAACAAAAAAAAAAAAAAAAATGTACTGAATTTTTTTTTAGCTTAGAATAAAACATGAAAATGTAAACAAATGCATGCACAACATATTCAAATTCTTAAGATCTTAAGCAATGAACAATGCTTGAAAAAACTCTTATTCATGTTAATGAAACGGTATTTTTGAACTGGAAAAGTAAAATATTACTATCGATATTAAAAGTTTAAGCTACTTATCACATTAAGTAACAATTCAGCTATACCTCTGTACTTTGGGTGCAGACCTAAGTATTCTTCTGGTGCATAACATCTTCCTTAGGCTACATGTCAAAATCTGGTCTGCCCTTCCTATGACAGTGGTGTGCAACTGTTCGCTGTACATAGTGGCCAGAAACCGTTTGGACATTGAGAAGAAGAGTGCTTAACTGCTAGCTTTCATCAGAGAATAAAAAAAAAAAAAAAAAAAAAAAATCTATTCGGTCAGACAGCGGTTTAATATACTTATTTACTTTTTGAGTGCATCTCAAGCAGTATAACAGTGGCTGCTGAACTTATTTTATATGGAGAAAAAGTGCATAACAAAAAAAGATGCTAAATAAAAAAAATAGGATTTTGACAGCTATAAAACACTTTTCATAAAGCGGAACCTCCCCTTTTGGGTAGAGCTCACTTTAAGGACTGCTCTCCCCCACTCCCCATTAAGGATTGTACCCAAATTTGACAGGTACCCGCTCCCACTTCCGGTCCGATCGCCTAGGCGACCGAAAGGTGTCCCTCCCTCCCTGTAGTCTTTTGGGACACGCGACAGGTTCCAGAAGACTACAGGACCATTCATGAAGTGCAGCGCTACTAGTGGCCGGTGAAACGGGCTGTGGGGGACACACCGCGGGATCGAGGAATAGGTAAGTGGCTGTTTTTTTAAAGTCAGCAGCTACAGTATTTGTAGCTGCCGACTTGTTTGACATGGTGAGTGGAACTCCGCCTTAAAGTACATTACAGGACACAAGATCTTAATCTTAGACAAAAGGGGTTATATATACCTGACTTGCTAGTTCTAGATCTATCACTCCTGTGGTCTTCCTTGTTTTTTTCCTTATCAGATGTTTTATTATCACCTTTATCAGAGGTCTCATCTTTTAAGCTTGGGGAAGACCTGTGCAAAAAAAAAAATTTACAAAAAGTAAAAATCACAATCCACGAGTTGCTTTATTTGTAGTTGTGAAAAATTAAACAGTCTATTAACACACTGAAGAATTACCACTAGAATGCGGGATATGAAAACAATCAGAAGTAGAGAGGAACAAGCAAATATGCGAGACTGCACACTGGCAGAGGGAGCAGAAATTAATCTTGTTTTTATGTACAAGTAGTATAGTACATGACCATACACTAGTACAGCGCAACAATTTTCACTGCTCCTGTTCTGTACTTTTTGTATGTGTTGTGTTCTGTGTAATGTGCCTGTGAATCTTGAATTCTATTGTTCAGGTTAACGGATCATAGGCACGTTACACGGAATGAGAAACACATAGCACAGGGGTGTGGGGTTGGGCTTCAGTGATTATTTCCTCAATGCCAGCACCAGACTGGAGAGCCATTAGGTCAGCACAAGCCTAATTCTGTAGGTCAGACTTATAGGACAATTAAGAGATTCCACCTGCTCGTCCCAAGCTGCCAGATTGTTGAGTTGCAAACGTCTGGAGTAAGACTCACTAGTACACACTTGACAATTATTTTTTTGTTTAACCAGCAGGTAGAAGAAAAAACAAAAAATTGATGCAGCAACAAAAGGAATTTTGCCCAATGACAAGTATTTTGGCAGCCCTTCCCCCTTCCCATTGGCTGCAAGCGCTGACTGAAAAACACTACCTAAACACAAACTTAAATTGTACCATTACATGAAATTGAATGGTTTCAAGGAATAAGCACAAATAACTGGAACCATATGCACAAAATGAGTTGATTTCAAAGGTTGCTAGGGGCTACAGCAAATTATGGATTCACTATTGCAGCTGCATTATCCACTTTAGACTGTTTAAGGGATATGTATGGACATTTCTACAGAATTTAGATGCATTACATATTGGTTGCTATGAGGGAACGGTCTATTGTATTTCACATTATGTATAATACTTTATTTTAATTGTGAGTGCACAGATAAAATCTATTGCTAGTTACTTATTTTTCACGAAAAACTGTAAAATTTTCAAACAGTGAGCTTCATCGCATTTAATACACAACACATTTAAAATTTCCTTTGGGTGAAACCGAGTGCTGTGCTATATGCAGATGGTCTGCAATATCAATGTAATTGGTATCTGGCACAACAGCTATTTAGTTATAATTGGGTTTAGGATTAGACATAAGGAATAGATTGAGTATTTAATGGAAAACCAATGAATTTCTGTGCAAAGCAAATATGAAGGAAAAGAAAGAAATAGAAGGAATTGAAAAATGTCTGGGGGGGAAAAAATTTAAATAAATTTACGAACAGCAACGGAGACACCCTAAGAACGGCTAAATTTTGCAAAAACACACCTGAAGTCACCCAAAAGCATGTGGGAAAACATGTTATGGTCTGACGAAACAGAGTTTGAACTTTTTGGCCATAATTCCAAAAGATATGTTTGGTGCAAAAACAACACCAAAAGACATCACCAAAAGAACACCATACCCACAGTGAAGCATGGTGGTGGCAGCATCAGACTTTGGGGCTGTTTTTCTTCAGCTGGAACTGGGGCCTTAGTCAAGGTAGAGGGAATTATGAACAGTTCCAAATACCAGTCAATATTGGCACAAAACCTTCAGGCTTCTGCTAGAAAGCTGAACATGAAGAGGAACCTCATCTTTCAGCATGACGACTCAAAAGGATACAACCAAATCAACAAAAGGAATGGTTTCACCAGAAGATTAAAGTTTGGGACTGGCCCAGCTAGAGCACAGACCTGAATCCGATCGAAAATCTGTGGGGTGATCTGAAGAGGGCTGTGCACAGGGGATGCCCTAGCAATCTGACAGATTTGGAGTGTTTTTTTTTGCAAAAAGGAAGAGTGGGCAAATATTGCCAAGTCAAGATGTGCCATGCTGAAAGACTCCTAGCCAGAAAGACAGGGTGCTGTAATAAAGGGGAAGAGGAGAGCGGGAGAGGGGGGGGAGGGCGAGCGAGTCAGGGCGGGCGAGTCAGAGAGGGAGAGGGCAGGCAAGCCAGAGAAGGCGAGGGTGAGCCAGAGAGGGAGAGCGACAAGCAGTCAATTTCCTACAACCTACTTTAAGCAAGACCATGTCCCTTAAGATGAAAAGAAAATAAAAATTCTTACTTTTCATGCTTGTCTGTTGAATGTCGCTGGTCACTGCTTGATGACTTTTCTTTTTTTTGGCTCATCTTTTTTTTCTGAAGGTTTCTTACCAGCAGGCTCATTTTTTGCCTATGAAAGGTTAAGCAATACACATTATCCAACAGCTAGCCATATCTTTCAGATAGGTAGAGTCAATTGGGGCTTCTACTGCAGACATTACTGAAATTAAGTTGTAAATGCTGCACAAACTAATCTAAACAGACTGCATTCCTTGATGCAAATTCATAGTTCCCAAAGGTTTCTAACCACCTGCCCAATTCTGGCATTTCTCACATACATTTTAAAAAATGCATTTTTTTGTTTGACAATTACTTTGAACCCCCAAACATTTTTTAAAAGCAGAGGCCGAGGAGAATAAAATGGTAGTTGTTGCAAATCTGTTGCACCATATTTGCGCAGCCATGTTTAAAATGCTAAATTTTTCGAAAAAAAAAAAAAAAAAAAAAAAGCAATTTAACGATTTTTAGTGCACATAAACACAACACCCAATATTTTGGTAAAATACACAGCTCAAAAAAAACTAAAGGAACACTCTGAAAACACATCAGATCTCAAATGGGCAAAAATACGCTGCATACAGTGGGGCAAAAAAGTATTTAGTCAGCCACCAATTGTGCAAGTTCTCCCACTTAAAAAGATGAGAGAGGTCTGTAATTGGCATCATAGGTAGACCTCAACTATGAGAGACAAAATGAGAAAAAAAAATCCAGACAATCACATTGGCTGATTTGGAAAGAATTTATTTGCACATTATGGTGGAAAATAAGTATTTGGTCAATATCAAAAGTTCATCTCAATACTTTGTTATATATCCTTTGTTGGCAATGACAGAGGTTAAACGTTTCCTGTAAGTCTTCACAAGGTTGGTACACACTGTTGCTGGTATGTTGGCCCATTCCTCCATGCAGATCTCTTCTAGAGCAGTGATGTTTTTGGGCTGTCGCTGGGCAACATGGACTTTCAACTCCCTCCAAAGGTTTTCTATGGGGTTGAGATCTGAAGACTGGCTAGGCCACTCCAGGACCTTGAAATGCTTCTTACGAAGTCACTCCTTCGTTGCCCGGGCGGTATGTTTGGGATCATTGTCATGTTGGAAGACCCAGCCACGTTTCATCTTCAATGTCCTTGCTGATGGAAGGAGGTTTGCACTGAAAATCTCACGATACATGGCCCCATTCATTCTGTCCTGTACATGGATCAGTCGTCCTGGTCCCTTTGTGGAGAAACAGCAAAAGCATGATGTTGCCACCCCCATGCTTCACAGTAGGTATGGTGTTCTTTGGATGCAACTCAGCATTCTCTCTCCTCCAAACACGACGAGTTGTGTTTCTAAAAAACAGTTCTATTTTAGTTTCATCTGACCATATGACATTCTCCCAATCCTCTTCTGGATCATCCAAATGCTCTCTAGCAAACTTCAGACGAGCCCGGACATGTACTGGCTTAAGCAGGGGGACACGTCTGGCACTGCAGGATCCGAGTCCCTGGCGGCGTAGTGTGTTACTGATGGTAACCTTTGTTACGTTGGTCCCAGCTCTCTGCAGGTCATTCACTAGGTCCCCCGTGTGGTCCTGGGATTTTTGCTCACTGTTCTTGTGATCATTTTGACCCCACGGGGTGAGATCTTGCGTGGAGCCCCAGATCGAGGGAGATTATCAGTGGTCTTGTAGGTCTTCCATTTTCTAATTATTGCTCCCACAGTTGATTTGTTCACACCAAACTGCTTGCCTATTGCAGATTCAGTCTTCCCAGCCTAGTGCAGGTCTACAATTTTGTTTCTGGTGTCCTTCGACAGCTCTGATCTTCACCATAGTGGAGTTTGGAGTGTGACTGTTTGAACTTGTTATCAGTATAAAAGACACCTCTCCACAACCTCAAACAGGTGCCATTGATACAGATAATGAGTGCAGGACAGAGGAGCCTCTTAAAGAAGAAGGTACAGGTCTGTGAGAGCCAGAAATCTTGTTTGTTTGTAGGTGACCAAATACTTATTTTCCACCATAATTTGCAAATAAATTCTTCCCAAATCAGCCAATGTGATTGTCTGGATTTTTTTTCTCATTTTGTCTCTCATAGTTGAGGTCTACCTATGATGCCAATTACAGGCCTCTCTCATCTTTTTAAGTGGGAGAACTTGCACAATTGGTGGCTGACTAAATACTTTTTTGCCCCACTGTATCTATACTGATAAGGACTGGGTAACATGTTAGAAATGTAAGGATGCCCCATCGTTTGAAGGAAATTAAAATGGTCAACCTACAGAGGACTGAATTCAAAGACACCCCAAAAATCAAAGTAAAAAATGATGCAGTAGGCTAGTCCATTTTGCTGAAATTTCATTGCAGCAACTCAAAATGGTACTCAGTTTGTATGCATCCTGGACAACGTCGAAGCATGCTCCTAACGAGACAACAGATTATGTCCTGAGGAGTTTCCCCCCAGAATTAGACCAGGGCATCACAGAGCTCCTGGACAGTCGCAGGTGCAACCTGGCGGCTTCGGATGGACCAAAACATGATACCCCAGAGGTGTTCTATTGGATTTAGGTCAGGCGAGTGTGTGGGCCATTCAATGGTATCAATTTCTTCATCCTCCAGGAACTGTCTGCATACTCTCGCCACATGAGGCTGGGCATTGTCATGCACCAGGAGGAACCCAGGACCCACTGCACCAGCATAGGGTCTGACAATAGGTCCAAGGATTATATCCCGATACCCAATGGCAGTCAGGGTGCCATTGTCTAGTCTGTAGAGGTCTGTGTGTCCCTCCATGAATATGCCCCCCAAACCATCACTGACCCACCACCAAAAACGGTCATGTAACGATGTTACAGGCAGCATAAAGTTCTCCACGGCATCTCCAGACCCTTACACGTCAGTCACGAGTTCAGGGTGAACCTGCTCTCATCTGTGAAAAGCACAGAGTGCCAGTGCCGGACATGCCAATTCTGGTAATCAATGGCAAATGCCAATCGAGCTCTATGGTGCCAGGCAGTGAGCACGGGGCCCATTAGGGGACGTCGGGGGCCATTAGGGGACCCTCATTTAAGTCGGTTTCTGATTGTTTGGTCAGAGACATTCACACCAGTGGCCTACTGGAGGTTATTTTGTAGGGCTCTGGCAGTGCTCATCCTGTTCCTTCTTGCGCAAAGGAGCAGATTCCGGTCCTGCTGATGTCCAGCTCTCCTAGAGTAACTGCCTGTCTCCTGGAATCTCCTCCTTGCTCTTAAGACTGTGCTGGGAGACATAGCAAACCTTCTGGCAATGGCATGTGCCATCCTGGAGGAGTTGGACTGCCTGTGCAACCTCTGTAGGGTCCAGGTATCGCCTCATGCTACCAGTAGTGACACTGACCCTAGCCAAATGCAAAAACTAGTGAAAAAAGTCAGAAAAGAGGGAGGGGGGGGGGGGGGGGGGGGGGGGGGGGGGGGGGGGGGGGGGGGGGGGGGGGGGGGGGGGGGGGGGGGGGGGGGAGGGGGGGGGGGGGGGGGGGGGGGGGGGGGGGGGGGGGGGGGGGGGGGGGGGGAAGGTCAGTGGCCTCCACCTGTAAAACCATTCCTGTTTTGGGGGTCGTCTCATTGTTGCCCATCTAGTGCACCTGTTAAATTCATTACCATCAAAGCAACAAACTGACAAGTAGCAGAGGGAGTTGTAAAACTGACCAGATCAAGATCACAAAAGTTTAATTGACTTGATGTTATACTCTGCTCAAAAAAATTAAAGGAACACTTTAATCAGTGTATAAAAGAGGTAACGCTAAATAAATAGAAAAACAAACATGTCACGCTTTAAAAATTGTGCACGCCTGGGGAATGGCTACAAACGATGGTACATTAAATTATCCATAGGCGACGCTTTAAAAGACTTTCCAGGTTACCAATGTAGAATTAAATAAGAGGTCTGGTGCTAGAATTATTGCTCTCTCTGACATTCACAAAGATACCTCTGTGTAGTACGATCACTGTTTAAATACGCGTGCAGGAGCTACACTGCGCGTTCACATTTGCTCATGAGCAGAGGACAGGAGTGCTTTTTAAAAAAAAAAAAAAAAAAAATTTTAATCATGTTATTTCTTTAACACTGTCTTGATTTTTTTCTTGGATCAACTTTATGGCCATCACAAGGGATGAACAACATCCCTTGTGATAGCATGGGCAGTGACTAGTACTCTATACCGAAAGATCTGACCACATCTTCAACCTCTCATTCTCCATGGACACCTTTCCCTCCCCACTCAAACATACACTGGTTGCCCCCATCCTCAAAAAACCCTCGCTGGACCCCACCTGTTTGAATGACTTAAGACCCATCTCTCTGCTCCCGTTTGCCTCCAAGCTTCTCAAGCGCCTTGTTCACAACCGTATGAACTGCTACCTCACCGACAACCTTCTTGATCCAACAGTCTGGCTTCCGCCCACAACATTCCACAGAAACTGCCCTACTAAAAAACTCACTAATGACCTACTAACTGCTAAAACCAACAGCCATTACTCCATACTCATACTCCTTGACCTTTCTGGTGCCTTTGACACAACCACCCGCTCCTCCTCAGTAAACTCCACTCCATTGGCCTCCGTGACTCTGCTCTCTCCTGGTTCTTCTTACCTTTCTCAGCGCACTTTCAGTGTCACATACAACTCTTCCACTCCCTCTGTTGGGGTACCCCAAGGTTCTGTTCTTGGGCCCCTCCTATTCTCTCTGTATACCTCCTCCCTGGGCCAACTGATAACCTCCCATGGCTTCCAATACCACCTCTATGCTGATGACACCCAGATCTATCTCTCTCTCACTCTCCAGCTCACCCCCTCACGTATCACAAATCTACTAAGCGACATATCAGCAAGGATGTCACATCACTACCTTAAACTCAATCTTTCAAAAACTGAGCTTGTAATATTTCCTCCTCCCCGATCCCCCACTCACGACTTTACCATTAAGATCAACAGCACAACCATTGGTCCTTCCCCTCATGCCAGGGTGCTAGGCGTAATCCTAGACTCTGACCTCTCCTTTGGGCCCCACATCCATTCACTGGCTAAATCCTGCCGCCTCAACCTCCGGAACATTTCCAAAATCCGCCCCTGACCAATGACACCACAAAACTTATCCACGCCTTGGTTATATCCCACCTCGATTACTGCAACTCCCTCACTGGTCTACCGTTGCACAGGCTATTCCCCCCCCCCCTTCAGTCTATTATGAATGCTGCTGCTAGACTCATACACCTTACCAACCGATCAATGACTGCTGCCTCTCTCCGCCAATCCCTCCACTGGCTTCCACTAACCCAACGTATAAAATTCAAAATACTAACCACAGCTTACAAAGCCATCCACAACACTGCCCCTAGCTACATCACCAACCTCGTCCACAGATACCCCCAAATCGCCCACTCCGCTCCTCCCATGATATCCTCCTCTCTAGCTCCCTCATCACCTCCTCCCACACTCACCTCCAGGACTTCTCCAGTGCCTCTCCTAACCTCTGGAACTCCCTACCACAGCATGTCCGATCAGCCCCCACCCTGTCTGCCTTTAGGCGATCTTTGAAAACTCACTTCTTCAGGGAAGCCTACCCCACCTCCACCTAAGAACAGTACTTGAATCACCTCCGCCAGATCATCCCCCGCAGCTATCACCTTTTGCATCACCTCCCCCTTCCTTTAGATTGTAAGCTCCACGAGCAGGGCCCTCGTATTCCTTCTGTACTGAAATGTATTGTAATTGTACTGTCTCCCTTATATTGTAAAGCGCTGCGCAAACTGTTGGCGCTATATAAATCCTGTATAATAATAATAATAACAACCTGTGGTCTATTAGACCCCAGATCGCCCCTCTGCCCTCAAAAGCATCTGAACAAACCCAACTCTGTTTGATCAGATAGTTTACAAGCCGGTAATGGCTTGTAAACTGCAACCAAAAGCGACAAGGATTTTGTCATTTCTGGTTTCTTTCACCACGGAGGAGGGGAGGGTACGAATATACCTGCCTTTAATCCATGTTCTACTGGACCAACAGGTCTTCGTGATCCTGGGCTCCCCGATCACATGAGATCCCAGGAACAGGTATGGCCTAAGGACTTGAAGTGGTTAATATAGATGTGCCATTGCCACACACAATGAATAAACATTCCCAATTGTGGAACAAGTTCTAGGCACAGCAATAGGTAATTGATGACCATTGTCACAAGCACATCATATCACAAAGGGAGGAAAAGAAGAAAAAAAAGCAAAACCCACAAGCTAGGGCAATGAGATACAGCATCACTGCTTTGAGGTCTTTTACTTCTTCTTGAACATTCAAAACTTAAGCTCGCTTATATTTTGCCCACCCTAGTTGACCCATTCAGAGTAAGCAATTTCAGTACAGGAGAGGATCCTACACAACTGTGGAAACCTGAAAATAAGGCTGGATCTTCAGCTTTAAATGAGAAAATCCAAGGAATAAAAAACACATACTTTTTCCACTGAAATCATCCTTCCATGAAGCTCTGTTCTGTGTAGATGATTAATACATTTTGTTGCATCCTCTGAAGACGACATGGTTACAAATCCATAGCAACGAGCACCAGGGCTGCGAGCATTAGTTACCACCTTGGCACCAACAACCTTAAATTTGTATTAAAAGAAAAATGGTTAGTGTGCACATTTTATTTAAAGTTGTGTCAATTGTTCAATACTGTTGAACACAAAATAGGTGTATACAAGTTTATAACCTTCTCGTTATTTTACTATTAAGAGCAGAAATGAAAAAAAATATTACAGTTTAGCAACTGAGAGCACAGACGTTAAAGTATCAAAGAAACATCTGGTCAGACAAATAAAACACTTGACATTTTAGGATAAAATATTAAACATACCTTCCCATATTTGCTGAAGAGATTCTTTAAGTCTGTTGCTCTTGTGGTAGATGAAAGGCCACTAACCCAAAGATTCCTGCCAGAGCTGTTTGCCCCAATTTGCCCTAGCAAAATAAAACAAATACATTTTTGTGCAATCTTTATTAAAAAGACACACACCTCTTCTGGGAAGGCTGTAAACAAGGTTTAGGAATGTTTGACCATTCTTCCAGAAGCGCATATCTGAGGTCAGGCACTGATGTCAGACGAGAGCCTGGCTCGCAGTTTCCACTCTAATTCATCCCAAAGGTGATCTATCGGGTTGAGGTCAGGACTGTGCAGGCTAGTAAAGTTCTTCCACCCTAAAAATCGCTCAATCCACGTCTGCATACCTTGCTTTGTGCACTGGTCTCAGGCATGCTAGAACAGGAAGGGGCCATCCCCAAACTATTCCCACAAAGCTGGGAGCAAAAAATTGTCTAAAATGTCTCAGCATGCTGACACCTTAAGAGTTCCTTTCACTGGAACTAAGGGGCCAAGCCCAACCCCTGAAAAACAGCCCCACACCATAATCCCCCCTCCACCAAACTTTACACGTGGCACAATGCAGTCAGGCAAGCATTATTCTCTGGGCAACCGCTAAAACCCAGACACATCCATCAGATTGCCAGACAGAGAAACGCGATTCGTCACTCCAGAGAACGTGTGTCCACTGCTCCAGAGTCTGGTGGCAACATGCTTTACTGCTTTGCATTGAACTTGGGGATGTAAGGCTTGGATGCAGCTGCTCGGCCATGGAAACTCATTCCATGAAGCTCTCTATGCACTGTTGTTGTGCGAATCTGAAGGCCACACGAAGTTTGGAGATCTTTAGCTATTGACTCTGCAGACAGTTGGTGAATTCTGCTCACTGTGCGCTGACCGAGCTCTGTGATTTTAACTGGCCTATCACTTCATGGTTGAGTTGCTGTTCCCAGTTGCTTCCACTTTGTCATAATACCACTAACAGTTGACATGGAATATTTAGTAGCAAGAAAATTTCACGGATGAACACAGTGGCAACCTATCACAGTACCACGCTTGAAATCAGAGCTCCCAGTCTCACAAATATTTTGTAGAAGCAGTCTGCATGCCTAGGTGCTTTATTTTGCACACCTGTGGCCATGGAGGTGATTGGAACACCTGAAACCAATGATTAGGAGGGGTGCCCCAATACATTTTGGCAGTGTACACATACATAGAAAAAAAAAAAAAAAAAAACACCACTTTTTTCCCCATACACACACACACACAAAACGCACAGTTCCATGGTGGAAACTCCTAAGAACGCTAATTTTAAAGTAAACTCATCATGATAAAGTAGCTGCCAACTTTTACATCCTCAAGAAAACTTCAGCTGCCTGTCTTATGTCAACTCTCTGACTTCAATACTTTGAGGAATAGGTTTGCTTTTAAGTGAAGTTAAATTCCACAACAGCGATTCTTTGTTCCTATAATGTGAAAATTATAAAAAAAAATATAAACTGTATTAACCACTTGCCTACCGGGCACTTATACCCCCTCCCTGCCCAGGCCAATTTGCAGCTTTCAGTGATGTCGCACTTTGAAGGACAATTGCGCGGTCATGCAACACTGTACCCAGATGATATTTTTATCATTTCACACAAAGCTTTCTTTTGGTAGTATGCACTCTCCACTGTGGGGCATCAGGTCACTGATCATCAGTGCCCTGATGATCGGTGCCGATCCGTCCTCTGACAATTGCCGGTTATCGGCAGTCCTTTCCTCATGCTGTCACGGCCTGAGGAAAGTGTAGCCGATAACCGGCAACTGCATTTTCTGGTGATCTGCAGAGTCATTGGACACTGCTGACCACGTGGTAAAAGGCCGCTGTGATTGGCCTTTTACCACATCACGTGATCAGCTGTGTCCATAGGACACAGCGATCACGGAGATCCCCGGGTGCACGTGTTCTGGGAGGAGGTCATAGGACGTCCTCCCAGAACTGGCCGGCCACAGTGTAGCCGCCATTTGGATATCTGTCGGCAAGTGGTTAAAGCTGAACTGAAGGAAAACAGCTCTTGAAACTGATAAGGGCTCTTTTTTCTGCCAAAGATTTTAATTTCTTTCCATGCACTCCTAAGATTTAGGCCCCTTTAACACTTGTGCAACTTCAAAATCGCTGCAACTTAAAGTCGCACAGATAAGAATGGTATTCATTGGGAAACAGAGTGTGACTTTGGACCTCAAAGTCGCATGAAAAGTCGCACAAGTGTGAATGGGCTCTGAACGGCTTGTTCTGCCACACAGCATAGCTCTGCATGCTGCATTTAATTTAACTTTACAAGGCATGCCAATCTCCCAGACTTTGGACTGGACAGTGAAAGAAAAAAGTGGCAGACTAATGAGTTTATCACCCTGCTCTCTTCCTATCAGCAATGTTCCTTGTTTGCACATGAGCCCTGCAGCATAAGTGATTGACTCCTTGTGCTGCTATGCCTTCTCCCAGTCTAAGAAAGGCTGACAGGTACTGCAAGAGGCAGAAGCCAGGGCGAATCCCGGAACTTACACTGCTTGCATTTCAAAATCACGTTTAAAATGTAATAAAAAGCTGCATTAAAATTTGTGTCTTGTCTGCAACTAGAGTTCAGCTTTAAGATTTGTATACAGTATACATTTAATATACAGTTTCCTAAACTAGTTTACAATGTTTCTCTTACAAAATTTAAACATGTAATTTAGATAGAACGCTAAATTTAAGCATGCAACAGTATTATGACCTCTTCAATGCCAAGGAACAAAGTACATCACACATACCCTTTTCATCGGTTTTTAGGTTCCTGTCAGCTTCCTCTTCAGTCAAACTAAAGAGAGAGAATACTAGTCAACAATTGTTTTCAAGACCCAACATATGGCTGTCCACAAATGTTTGTGTAAGAGACATGCAAAACATTAAAATTATGTTAAGATTTTGTAACAAACAAAATCAAGTATAAAAATTGACATGAAAAGGAAAATCTCAAAAGTCTAATTGGCTTTACTATAGAAAATATGCCAAAGAAAACCATATTTCAAAGCACCTTTGAAAAGAAAAACAAATCTGGTCTAATACTGAGAAAAAAAAACAAACCTCATTCTCTGATCGTCCTCTTTTGCAGAGGATACTTTAGTAGATGCGGATTCTGTGTTTTCACTCTTCAGTGCTTGTTCACCATCTTTAGCTTCTTCCTCAGGCTGTGCCTTCATCTCATCTTCCATGTTCTCATCAAGATTGGGTTCTACTTGGCTACTCTGGCCACCTGTGCTATCTATGGCTACTTCAGAGTCCGTGTCCTTTATCATACTTTGTTCTAAAGACTCGCTATCATCTGAACCTAAAGTTTCTTCAGCTTCACACACTTTATTTGTTTCACCATCTAAATCTAATGTGTTATCAGCAGATTCAATGGTGACAAACACATCTTCGTCTTCCTCTTCCTTGGTCTTCTCGGATTCAATACAACTATTATCTTGATCAACTGACTCCTCCACTTCTGGAGCCTCTTCTTTAAGCTGTTCAGATTTATCACTTTCCCCCAATATCTCGAGCTCTTTCTCATTTTCTATAGATTTAATAGGAATAGAACGGCACAATTTAATGACCAGGGAAAAAAACAAAATTACAAAAACGTGGAACTGGCATGACTGCCAAATTAGAAAACTAGGCACAGAGATTGGAAAGTTGTGTTATGTAATTATTTTAATAAAAAAAAAAAAAATATATATATATTATAGATTTATTTATATTCCACATATTTACACACCAAGCCTAACGTTTATAGCCAACTAAACACCAAACATGGCCAAACCTATAAGAAAAGCTGCAAACACGACATGCTTCTGGTCTTGAAGCTAGTCCCAACTTGACGTGTGGATGTTCTCTGTTCTTCTAGACCGCTGGAATTGTCCATTACTTTGTTTAAGTATTTCATAGATAAATGTTCCAATTTCAGCAAAAATCCATCTTGTTTGTGAACTCCATTTTGAGCATTTAGTAATCTTCCATACATCCGGAAAGCAAGAATGAAGCAAATAAAAGCTTAAATCCCAAGACAGAAGAATGCTTCTTTGTAATTTACCTCTATCTTCTCGCAGCCACGGATTTCACTGTCATTGCAATTGTGACGTAGTGCGGGTTAACTAAAAGCTCAATGTTCCTTCTAACTCCAGATCTATGAAGTCCAAAGGTTACTTTGCTTAAAAATGATATAGTTAGCTAACATAAGTAATCAAGATGAATTTCACAGATCTGGCAATATACATTTCCAATCTCTGTGGCCCAAAGCTCAACTGAACTGTAGGCACATTAAAGTGGACTTGTGCCAAATGTCAATAGATTTTTAGAGATTAACATATAGAAACAGAAGGCTTGAAATATTTGCCTTTCTAGAGGAAAACACTGCTTCCAAGGGCTTAACACAAGACAAAGCCTATGTATCTGGTCACATGATCTCTGCTGTTGGGGAAGACCAAATAATCTGAACTTGCTTTCAGCACAGATAACATTGTCAGATACCTAGGTCTTTGGTTTTGTGAACAGCATTTTCTCTAGAACTGGTATTTGAACACTAAGGATTTATTCATGCCAGCAAAGCAGTTAAAATGTTAACATTTGAGTACAGGTCCACTTTAAACTTATGAACCCCACCATAAACTGTAGGACATGGGTGCCATATTAGACCGTACCTTGTTCCAAACTTGTCTCTTCATTTTCCTGTATTTAAAAAAAAAAAAAAAAAAAAAAAAAAAAAAAAAAGAAGGTTAGAATTGTTATCTTAATTAGTCTAGCATCAGCATATAAAACAGTCTGTCCGTCCCGTTTCACACGGATGTGGTGGGGGGAACCGCGTGTGATTCAGACAGGAATCACACTGCATCCCTGTTCAAATTACATACGACTCTTCGCAGTGCGATTTAACTCCATTCATTTGGTTAGGCTCAAAGTGCACTGTACCCACACAAAAAGGTGGTGCATGCACTTTTTTTTGCACTGGAATCAGAGCACATGGGTGTTCATGGGATCAGAATCAGCCAATTGCACTAAGTTTTGTAAACAGTTTTTGGGGTGTTGCAGGAAACGAACTGGAGTCACTGCAAACCCTGTAATGCATCAGTGTGAACCGGGATTCAAAAAGGTAAAACAAAACACCTTGATATATTTGCTACTTATTAAACTTGACATGGTCATCTTTTATAAAATACCTATAAAGTGTGTATAAAGAAAAAAAAAAATAAATATGAATATATCTATATCTGTACGATAAAATTACACAGCTACATCCAAAAAGTCAGACCTGTTTTTTTGGACTTTGTGGTCCTCAGCCCAGACCCCATTTCCCTTAAAGAACCACCCTCACCAGATGTTAGAAATACTTGTTAAATCCCCCCAGTGGACAAGGACAAATAGCACTTGTCCCCATTAAAATCAGTGCAGTAGTGTGGAAGCAAAACGTTTTATCACTATGGTAGTGCTGATATACCTCCAAAGCCCAAATTGAGGGCGTTCCAATGGGAGGACATAAAGGCAGCAATAAAGCCATAGCCACACAAGTTTGCAGCGGAACACTTAGATACACTATATTGCCAAACGTATTGGGACACCCATGTAAATCATTGGATTAAGGTATTCCAATCACCTCCATGGCCACAGGTGTATAAAGTCCAGCACGTAGGCATGCAGTCTGCTTCTACAAACTTTTGTGAAAGAATGGGTCGCTCTCAGGAGCTCTGTGATTCAAGCGTGGTACCGTGATAGGTGGTCACCTATGCAATAAGTCCATCCGTGAAATTTCCTTGCAACTAAATATTCCACGGTCAACTGTCAGTGGTATTATAACAAAGTGGAAGCAACATCAACTCAGCCACAATTGTAAACTACATAAAATGACAGAGCGGGGGGTCAGCGCATGCTGAAGCGCACAGTGCGCAGAAGTCGCCAACTGTCTGCAGAGTAACCGTTATTTCCAATTTGCAAAAAGCGGAGAACGCCTGCTTTATATGTTACAGGTTCTCACATAGCATTAAATAAAGCACTGCCTAAATATCTTCTCAGAACATTCCAAAACAAAAAGGTTTCCTCTTCTATTCAAGAGGATGGGAAGGTAATGCTCACCATATATAACCCTGTGCTGTGATGGCTGATCTCATCAGCTGTAAATCAGACATTAACAGTCTTAAAGGGTTAAATGTAGAAGCTGGCATTCAGCATTGAATGTCAGTGAAAGTAAACTCACAAACTGAGTTACTTCTCAGTTCAAATTATTCAGGAGCAGCTTGCAGTCTGCCAGAGGCCAGCTGCAAAAAACATACCGAGAAGGGGGGGGGGGGGGGGGCAGGGGGGCAGATCACTGACATGAGCTCCTACACACTGCTTTGTATGGTTTTGCTTAGCAGAGCCATAAAAAGCAGTGTGCTTACAGTAAAACAGACAGCCCACGTAGTAAACAGCACAGTTAACCCTTTGATTGCTGCACGTTAACCCCTTCCTAGCAGTGTCAGTGCTTTTTATTAGCACTGATCACTGTATTGGGGTCACTGGGGATGTCAGCGAAACCAAATTCGTTCCCCCCAGTGTCAGAATGCCCCCGCCGCAGTCCCGCAAGAAGTTCCCTAGTGTAAAAAAAAAAAAAAAAAAAAAAAAAACGAACTTTACAAATAACTTTTTTTTTTAGCAAGGAACATACATTCTACATTATGTGCTGTAAATTGCCTCCACAATTACTCGTTTCTCTTTCTTCTTGTTGGAGGCTGCCATTTTGCTGAAGTCCAAAGCCCATAAAAATCAGTAAATCTTTAGGCTGTCAGCAGATTGGTCTCTACATTTTGGGCATAGTGTAAAATATGGAGAACTGAGCATGTGCAGAGCAGTGAGACCGTGCATTACTGGATTTTAAACTGTATAGGCACTTATTTTTATTGTTTTACATAGCTACACTTGCAAATGGGGCCAGCCTGAAATGATCTAGTAGGACTTTCATTTTCTGACTAAAGTTCCAAAGTAAGTCCTACCCCTCCCCCTCGTATCAGCTTGTGCAAAAAGATGTACCATCACATTCCATACAGTGGCAAGGAAAAGTACATGAATATGTAATTAACTGGTTTTCTGCAGTAATGTTCCATAAAATGTGATCTGATTCTCATCTAAGTCAAAACAACAAACAATGAGCTTAAGCTGATAAACAAAAAAACAACCTTCAAGAGAACCGCTCACACCAGACATCCTACAAAATGTGTCTGAGCTGAAGCAGTTTTGTAAAAATGTAAAAAAGGTCAAGAATTCCTCCTGAATGATCCAGAGCAACCGAACACGCTTGCATGTAGCCACTACTGCCAAATTTAACTGTAAGGGTTCACGCATTCTTCAGCACTGTGAATGTTTAATGGGTGTGTTCAATAAAGACATGAGAAATTATTTTAGGTACTTCTATAGCACCGTCAATTATGCAGCACTTTACATATTCACATCAGTCCCTAACCCTCAATGGGTGTATAATCTAAGGTTCCTAACACATTCATACACATACAAGGGCCAATTTAGACAGGATTCAATTAACTTACCAGCATGTCTTTGGAGAATATCGGAGTACCCGGAGGAAACCCATGCAGGCACAGGGAGAACATGCTAACTCCAGGCAGGTGGTGCCATGGTTGAGATTCAAACCAATGACCCTAGTACTGCCAGGCAGAAGTGCTAACCATTTAGCCACTGTGCTGCCCATAAAAATTAGAATTTAGGGCTGCAACAATTATTTTCATAAATTAATTAGTTGGCTTATTGTTTTTTTTCCCTTGAGATTTTTCTGATTAATTGAAACAAAAAAAACAAAAACAAAAAAAACTGTGTATAATTTAGTTATAATTGATGTCGGGTCTAGGACCGTCTGCTCCCTCCCAAGACTCAGAACAGCTGCTCTCCCTCCTGTTCAGGCTATTCTGATCTTCAGTACACAGAAGCCAGCAGCAATAGCAAGAGCTCCTACTCCCCACATAGCACACACCTGTTATCCAATTCTCTTACAGAAAGCCTGGAATATGCACTTTGTGCCAACAGTGTAGAGATCTAGGCTTTATCATTGGATATACAGAAAAAACCTCAGGGCTCATGTACACGGGACGTTTGGAGAACACTTCTGAACGCTGTAAATTGACAGCAGGAAAACCGCAGTAAAAACATATGTTTGTTTTTCAACGCTAGCATACCGCGTTTAGAAGCGTTTTTTAAAGATAAAAAACACAGGAGAACCTCCCAAATGCCCAGAATGCACTGAAAAAGTGGTAAATTATTAACTATTTCAGAGAAATACACACAGTAGAAGCAGAGACAGCAGTATGTGTTGAGATAATTAGGTGCGAGTTGCTCAGTAACATTTCTTTTGTTTCCAAGGGTGGGAAAGGTGCCTGCCCCAGTGAGTCATTAAGGCCACCTGGCAGGGGGTCATCATAAGGAATTTGAGGTGTGAATGGTGCTTTAACATATCTTTTGTTTCCAAGGGTGGGAGAGGTCTGAAGTGTGAATTGGTCATTACAATGTGTGACAAGCTTGGTAGGAATATCCTGTTAAGTGTTTTGTCCATCTGAGCACTTTGAAAACTCTTTGCATGCATCTTTCATGATGAAAAAAAGGCTCTAGACAGCATTGGAAACTGGAAGAGTTTAAAAAAAAAAAAAAAAAAAAATTCAAAAGCAAACGCTTATAAACGCGATTTGCAGCGTTTTGTTATTGAAACGCTGATAGAAGCGACATCTGAATGCAAGTTTGTTGCGTTAAAAAAAAAACGACTAAACTCAACTGCTTGCAAATGAAGATGTGTACATGGACACATAGGAAAACATTAGGGTGTGTTCAGGGGCTGCTTTAAAAAAGAAAAAAAGAAAAGAAGAGCTGAACAGCTCCCTAAATGTGAGTTTACCAGCTGCAGTGTACATGAGCCCTCAAACTGTTTATACAGAGATACTGCACACTTGTTTACAGACAGCCTCAAACTGTAGACTCTGTAAACACAGTGTGCACATGCAGGAATAGGGGCAGAGATAGGGTAGATTGCTGAGATTGTATCTACCCCATCTAAACTTTCAAACACAAAAAATGGACTGTTATTGTGAGCTACATGAAAGATGAAGTGCACATGGTGGAAAAACAAAAAAAGGAGGTAAGAAAGAAAGAAAGAAAGAAAGAAAGGACAGCCGATTTGTGATATGTGCTAATTATTCAACCTATCCCATAGTTCTTTAATATGCAATGCACACCTTGAAAAAGTACCTGTACCCCTTGAAATTTTCCACATTGTCATGTTACAACCAAAAACGTAAATATAATGTTATGCGATAGACCAAACACAAAGTGCCACATAATTCTGAAGTGAAAGGAAAATGATAAATGGATTTCAAACTTTTTTTTACAAATAAATATCTGAAAAGTGTAGCATGCGTTTGTATTCAGCCCTCTTTATTCTGATAGCTTTAACTAAAATCTAGTGGAATCAATTGCCTTCAGAAGTCACCTAATTAGTAAATAGAGTCCACCTGTGTGTAGTTTAGTCTCAGTATAAATACAGCTGTTCTGTGAAGCCCTCAGAGGTTTGTAAAAGAAATTTAGTGAACAAACAGCATTACAAAGGCCAAGTAACACACCAGACAGGTCAGGGATAAAATTGTGGAGAAGTTTAAAGCAGGGTTAAGTTATAAAAAAATATCCCAAGCTTTGAACATCTCACAGAGCAATGTTCAATCCATCATCCGAATGGAAAGTGTATGGCACAACTGACAGGCCAGGCAAGAAGAGCATTAATCAGAGAAGCAGCCAAGAGGCCCATGCTAACTCTTGAGGAGCTGTAGAGATGCACAGCTCTGGTGGGAGAATCTGTCTACAGGACAACTATTAGTCGTGTATGCCACAAATCTGACCTTTATGGAAGAGTGGCAAGAAGAAAGCCATTGCTGAAAGAAAGCCATAAGAAGTCCCGCTTTGCAGTTTGCGAGAAGCCATGTGGGAGACACAGCAAACGTGGAAAAAACAAAAAGGTGCTCTGGTCAGCCGAGACCCAAATTTTACATTTTGGCCTAAAAGCAAAATGCTATGTGTGGCGGAAAACGAACACGGCACATCACCCTGAACACACCATCCCCACAGGGAAACATGGTGGCAGCATCATGTTGTGGGGATGCTTTTCTTCAGCAGGGACAGGGAAGCTGGTCAACTTAGAAGAAAACAGAGAGTCTGCAAAAGACTTGACTGGGGCGAAGGTTCACCTTCCAGCAGGAAAATAACCTTAAACATACAGCCAGAGCTACAATGGAATGTTTTAGATCAAAGCATATTCATGTGTTAGAACGGACCAAAGTCCAGACCTAAATCCAACTGAGAATCTGTGGCAAGACTTGAAATTTGCTGTTCACAGACGCTCTCCATCCAATCAGAGAGCTTGAGCTATTTTGCAAAGAATGGGCAAAAATGGCACTCTCCAAATGTGCGAAGCTGATAGACATCCCCAATAAGACTTGAAGCTGTAATTGCACTGAAAAGGTGGTTCTACAAAGTATTGACTCACGGGGGCTGAATACAAATGCACACCACACTTTTCAGATATAAGGGAAAAGTAAGTAGTTACCAGTAATGGTATTTCTGGAAAATCTTTCAGGACAGCAAACCAGAGAGATGACTAGCTCCACCTGACAGGAAACACAATCAACAACTGACAATTTAAATTCCCTGCACTTTCCTCCACTCCTCAATTATAGAAGAGTAATCCCACACTCTGGTGCACAAAAGGTAATCTGTCTTCAAATAACCAACACTGGACACGGGTGGGAAGTAGGCTTGCCATCCTGGAAGATTTTCCAGAAATCGTTACCGGTAAGTGTAACTGGTACTTTTCTCTACCACCAGGAAGGGTTCCTTGATTGACAGACTCCGAAGGTCACCTATATTTCTTGCCGCTGTGATGGCTAGAAGGAAGGCCAACTTAAGATAAAATTTTAACCGAAATCTGTGCCACTGGCTCAAACATGAAAAAAAACTTCCTTATCCTTTTTAGCCTTGGTAGGGAACGTATCCCCCTTTTCGGCAGATCTAGGCAACACCTGGTCCAGCTCTGAGCCAAACAAAAAGGAACCCTCGAAGGGTAAACCACAGAGACCGGTTCTTCATGTCTGATGGCCCTTCCAGGTCTTAACCCACATTGCCCTCCGGGCTGAGTTAAGAATGTTCTGACCATCACCACCGCAGCATCTGCTAGGTAGGCTACTGCCTTACCAACAACATCTTCTGATTGGGCGTCCCCTTTTTCCTTTGTACCCCGCAAGACTTGGTCAATTACTCTATGCATCCAAGAGTCAGCATTCCTAGCGATGCAGGTGAATGCCAGGGCTGGGGCCATAGTAGCAGCATTGGCACTTTAGGCGTCTTGGGGGCACTCTGTTGGGGAGTTCCATATGGCTCTAGAGGGATAAAACAGGCCCAGGTTAACAAATATTCCCTTCCCCCTTAGTACACCTGTAGGGGGAGTGGGTAAGGTCTCTACCACCCTCCTCTCTTCCCACTGGCGGCAGCCTTCCATCTTAGCAGTGCCCTTCGGTACTGAGCCGCCTTCGCCAGGCTCCTGGGTCCCCACTCCCAGGGGTAACTCCTGGAGGCTCACCAGCCACATAGGGAAAAAATGCCAAATGGCACCTTCTTTAAACCTGAAGTCCCATCCACGCCAGAAGTCTTATTAGGAGCGAGGCTTGGACCACAGTCTTACCACTCTTACTTCCGGTCTTGCGCCCTGGGCTCTTACTGGGGGAACCAGTGAGACTTCACTGCAAACACCCCGCCCTCCCTACAGGGATGCGCCGTGCGATCCAATGCCGGTCAGGCATCAACATACCCACAAGAAGCGTCTTGCGGTCCCAGTCCTCTCCTGACATGCCTCCCTGGAAGATGGAGGAAGGGCGCCCATCCCTGAAATGCTGGGCACACTTCCCTTGTGCCTGGGAAACTCCCACAAGTGAGACCCCTGGTGTGGGTGAGTAAACACCTGCCTTCCCCGGCTGTCTACCCCCCAGGAGGGAACCCCACCCTCCGGTTCACAAAAAACACCAAAGGTTTCACTGCCAGGGAAACCATCAAAAACTGATGAGTGGAGGGAAGGGCGGGGAATTTAAACTGTCAATTATTGATTGCATTTCCTGTCAGGCAGAGCTAGTACACACACACACACACGAATTGGAACACTCAGGTGTTTGTTTTGAATATGAAGAGAAAAGTGAATAAATCTACCAGGTGAAGCAGAAACCTTTTTTTCAACTATTTTGCAACAACAAATCTGAATTATATCCATTCAAGATTTAGTACCTGGCTATCGCCTGAATCTTCTTCTAAGCCATTATCTTCAGTTTCCTCCTCTTGTTTTCGAACTACTCAAAAAAAAAAAAAAAAAAAAAAAAAAAAAAAAATACATGGCATAAAAATGAGATAGCAGTATTAACTACAGCTGTTAGGAAGCAAAGTGTTAGGAATAAGATACGTTGTCCGTGCTAAAACATAGTGCTAAAACATAGAAGAATTGGCTGACTAAAATAGAATATAAAAAACACAATTTGAGGCATAAACCGTTCAAAGCAAAATAAGGCAACGGTTGTATAAAGAAACACCATTACACCTATTAAAATTAAAGTGAAGTTCCAGTTGGGGAAACACACACAAACACCCTCAGCAGCTACAAAAACTGTAGCTGTGGACTTTTAAAATAAAGACATCTATCCCTCGGTCCAGCGGTGTCCTCTCCACGGCTGGTTTAACCGCTGTCTTCTCTCCTCGGCATCTTCAGTGTGGGCACCCGGCTGTAACAGCTTCCCGTTTCACAGTCAGGTGCCTAGTGCGCATGTACCATCGCACTTTGTGAATGGCCCCGTAGTCTTTGGGGGAACGTCTGCTTCCAATTGCACCGGGAGTGGGTACCTGCTCCCTCCAAACACACACTCCCTAAAGGCGCCAATCCGGGACAAAGCTTTAAAGCGTAAATTCCCCTTTTCCGTGGAGCTCCGCTTTAAGTTCAGCTGTGCTAGTTGCACTGCGTTTAAATTAAAACCATGTTGACTGTTAGAATTAGCGATTGAATAAATTCCGCTACATTATGTCACATTATCTGAAGTGTCTTTGGAATGTTTCAAGCCATTGACACACACACACACACACACACACACACACTTAGCTCTATATATTTGGACACAGGCACAATTTTCATACTTGTGTTTCTCCATGCCACCAGAATAAAGCTGAAAATCTGCACATTTTAGATTGTTTCATTTTTATTTAATTCAAGGGGTTGAACATAAATATCAAGTACAAATTTTAGTTACTGCAACCATTTTTATACACTCTCCATTTTCAGGGGCTCAAATGTAATTGGACAAATGAATATCATAAATAAAATGTTAATTTTTAATATTTTGTTGAGAATCATTTACTGGCAATGGCTGCCTGAAGTCTGGAACCCATGGACATTACCAAAGACTGGGTTTCCTCCTTTCTGATGCTTTGTCAGGCTCTAACTGCCTTGTTCTTTGTTTGTGGGCCTTTCTGCCTTTAGTTTTGCCTTCAGCAAGTGAAATGCATGCTCAATTGGGTTGAGATCAGGTGACTGACTTGGCCATTGCAGAATATTCCACTTTTCCTTCAAAAGCTCCTGGGTTGCTTTTGCAGTGTTTTGGATTATTGTCCATCTGTACTGTGAAGTGCCATCCAATCAACTTTGCTGCATTTGGCTGAATCTGGGCTGACAGTATATCTCTAGACACTGCAGAATTCATTTGGCTGCTTCTGATTGTCACATCGCTAATAAACACCAATGACCCAGTGCCACTGGAAGCCATGCATGGCCATGTCATCACACTGCCTCCACCATGTTTTACAGGTGACATTGTGTGCTTTGGATCATGATCTGTTCCAAGCCTTCTCCATACTTTTTTCTTCCCATCATTCTGGTACAGATTAATCTTCGTTTCATTCATCCAAAGAATGCTTTTCCAGAACTGGTCTGCCAAAAAACATCTAAAAACAGCCAAAGTCTAATCTGACTTTGCTATTCTTCAGGCCTTTGAATGGTTTGCACCTTGTGGTGAACCCTCTATATTTGCTGTCGTGAAGTCTTCTCTTGATTGTAGACGGACAATGATACGCCCACCTCCTGGAGAGTGTCCCTCACTTGTCTGGATGTTGTGAATGGGGTTTTCTTTACCATAGAGGATCCTGTGATCATCCCCCACTGTTGTCTTTCATGGACGTCCATGCCTTTTTAGGTTGCTGAGCTCACCAGTGCGTTCTTCTTTCCTCAGAATGTACCAAACTGTTGATCTGGCTACACCTAATGTTACCTCTCTCATGGATTGGTTTAGTTTTTGAAGCCTTACAATGGCCTATTTCCCTTGCATGGCCAGCTCCTTTGAACAGATGAGGGTTCACAGCAATAGATTCCAAATGCAAAATACCACACTTAGAAATCAACTCCAGACCTTTTACCTGTTTAATTGATGAAGAAACAATGGAGTAGCCCACATCTGGCCATGAAACAGCTTTTGAATCAATTGCCCAATTACTTCTGGTCCCTTGCAAAAGGGGAATGGCTACTCTTAAGAGCTGTAATTCCTAAAGCCTTCCTCTAATTTGGATGTACTTACTCTCAAATCAAACCTGAGAGAGTGTGCAATTTTAGCCCATATCCATTATATAACTATAGCTTCAATATGTTTTGGCAAATACCTGGGGGAACAAAAAAAAAAAAAAAAAACTAAAAATTGTGCCTGTGTCCAACTATATATGGACCCAACACACACACACACACACACACACACACACACACAGAAGTGAATAGACCCCTCACATATTTCTTTTCATGTGACAACACTGAAGAACTGACACTTTGCTACATTGTAAAGTAGTGAGTGTACAGCGTGTATAACAGTGTAAATTTGCTGTCCCCTCAAAATAACACAGCCATTAATATCTAAACCACTGGTAACAAACGTGAGTATACCCCCCCAAGTCAAAATGTCCAAACTGGGCACAATTAGCCATTTTCCCTCCCACTGAGTCATGTGACTCAGTGTTACAAGGTCTCAGGTGTGTAAAATGTGGGGTTATCGCTCTCTCTCATACTGGTCACTGGAAGTTCAACATGGCACCTCATGACAAAGAACTCTGTGTAGCGCAAAAATTCTTTTTTTTTTTTTTTTGGGGTTTCAGATCCTCAGATGGCCTAGGCTACAAGAATACTTCCACCGTGCTGCAGCTCAGTTTCAGGGTCTTGGCAAAGACCATACAGCAGTTTAACAGGACAGGCTTTACTCAGAACAGGCCTCGCCATGGTAGGCCAAAGAAGTTGAGTGCACATGCTCAGTGTCATATCCAGAGGTTGTCTTTGGGAAATAGACGTATGAGTGCTGCCAGCATTGCTGCAGAGCTTGAAGGGGTGGGGTGGTCAGCCCGTCAGTGTTCAGACCATACGCCGCACACTGCATCAAATTGGTAGCCTCTTCTAAAGATAATGCACAAGAAAGACCGCAAACAGTTTCCTGCAGACAAGCAGACTAAGGACATGGATTACTGGAATGTCCTGTGGTCTGATGAGACCAAGATAAATGTATTTGGTTCAGATGGTATCAAGCTCGTGTGGCGGCAAGCTCGTGAGGAGTACAAAGACAAGTGTGTCTTGCCTACAGAAGCATGGTGGTGGGAGTGTCATGGTATGAGGCTGCATGAGTGCAACCGGCATTGGGGAGCTACAGTTCATTGAGGGAACCATGAATGCCAACATGTACTGTGACATACTGAAGCAGAGCGTCATCCCCTCCCTTCAGAGACTGGGCCGCAGGGCAGTATTCCAACATGAAAACGACCCCAAACACACCTCCAAGACTAAAACAAATAAATGTGCCGCACTCCACTAAAATTATAAAGAAACTCAAAAAAATGTGTACTTACATACGCTATTTAAAATTTAATATTAAGTTGCAAAATATATTGTATAAGTCACACTATTGATGTGCTATTCTGCTGCAAATACGTTCCCAGAATCACAAAAAAATTTTATATGAAAAAAGTCCACACCAAAAAAAAAAAAAAAAAAAAAAAAAAAACTTCTCATGTGCTCCTTCACCTGTGTACGCTCACCTGATTTATATGACCAAACCGTTAAAGTGAGGTCAAAACAACCTGTGTCCCTTTAAATGGACTTAAAGATGAGTGGATATATATATCCCTGTCCCAGATGGATGGATGGAGCGTTTCCCTTTTTTCCAGCAGGTGGTCTGTTTTCCTGGAGTTGGATGGATGAACTTATCCCACTCTCCTCCAGGGGGTCTCCTCACTCCTTTTTCATTTTCCTCTCCATGTGCATGATTATCATGTAATAAAATAGAATATAGTGCCTTATCTTCTTTAAAAAGTATTATACTTAAAATAATGTACTGTGACGTACTGAAGCAGAGCATGATCCCTCCCTTTGGAGACTGGGCCACAGGGCAGTATTCCAACATGACCCCAAACACACCTCCAAGGCGACCACTGCATTGCTAAAGAAGCTGAGGGTAAAAGCAATGGACTGGCTGAGCATGTCTCCAGACCTAAAAAACTATTGAGCATCTGAGGGGCATACTCAAAATGGAAGGTGGAGGAGTGCAAGGTCTCTAACATCCACCAGCTCTGTGAGGTCGTCATGGAGTGAAAGAGAACTCTAGTGGCAACCTGTGAAGCTCTGGTGAGCGCCATCCCCAAGAGGGTTAACCACTTTCCATACGGCCATTGTATATAAACGGTCGGACAGTGGCAGTGCAGGGTCGGGTGGCCATTTATAAATGGCCTCCCCACCCGCCACTTGTGCGCGCGCACACCGATCCGGTGCCCGCTGTGTCCTCTGGACACAGTGGAACACCGATCGGACGGGACCACTGTGCGAGGTCCCGATCATGTGATCACTGATTGGCCAATCAGTGATCACATGCAGAGTAGTAAGCAATAGGTCACTTCTGACATCATTGCTTACTACGTGTGAAATCTGTGAATGATCACAGAGGTCACATGGTACAAGGCTATTCACAACAGCCTTGTACCATGTGACAAGCTGTGACCAATCACAGCTCACACAGTAGTTCTCAATGGCTGCAAGAATGCAGCCAAAGAGAAGGAGAAATGATTGCTTTTACACCCATAAAGGCTGTAAAAGCAATCAGTGCAAAAAAAAAAAAAAAAAATCTTCATTACCCCCCACAAGTAGTACAGTGTCACCATGGTGACACTGTACTGCTAGGGTGACAGTATGTAAAAAAATTAAAAAAAATAAAAATGTGCAAAAAAGTGTTTAAAAATGATAATTTTTGGTTATAAACTAATTTGGGTTATTTTTTTTTTTTACTAAAAAGATATACGGAATAAATTTTGGCCAAGATTTACAATGAAATTTTATTCGCAAAATTTTATAAGAAAAACACTTAAAGATGTTTGGACTTTTTCATTTACATAGCAAAAAAAATTAAAATCCCAGTGGTGAATAAATACCACCAAAATAAAGCTTTATCGGTCTCAAACAAATGCTAAAAAATTCATATGGGTACAGTGTTGCATGACCGCGCAATTGTCATTCAAAGTGTGATAGCACTGAAAGCTGAAAATTGGCCTGGACAGGAAGGGGGTAAAAGTGTCCGGAATGGAAGTGGTTAAAGCAGTGCTGGAAAAGAATGATGGTCACACAAAATCTTGGCAATTTGGGCCCAATTTGGACATTTTCACTAAAGGGTGTACTCACTTTTGTTGCCAGCTGTTTAGACATTAATGGCTGTGTTATTTTGAGGGGACAGCAAGTTTACACCGCTATACACTCACTACTTTATATTGTAGCAAAGTAGAATTTCTTCAGTGCTGTCACATGAGAAAAAAAAAAAAAAAACGCATATACACACACACATATATACATACACTGCAAAATTTAAACCGAATCTACCATGAAAGCGCACGCCTCATAAAATCAATACTGCATCAACATTACTCAAGTCCACTGTTATTTTAAAAATAACAGCCATTTATAAAAGGATGTGCATCACATAAAATTATGTTCCCAAGTGCCCAGCCTGAAAAGCTTAGAATACTTGGTCAGAGAATCTTCTATCAGCGGTAGGCTTGGGAACGTCAGCTTCAAATTTACCTCTTCCGCTTCGTTTTGGGGTCTTTTTGCTTGGCGTCTCAGAACATATTTCATCTGGGTTTCCTCCCTCCTCTTCAATAGCCTTTAAAGAAATCAGAATACAAAATGTTAAAAAAAAAAAAAAATCCAAAATATTCGCATAACTGTGGCTTTTGGTAAAAAAACTGAAATTTGACATAAGGCATTATTCACTAAGATAAACCTCGTACTGCCGTATTTTATCTAAATTTTTTGTAATATCACTGTCACACACAGGAGAGGGAAGAAAGACAACAATGTTCAAAGAGAATCAGCCTCCACCAATTAAGTTTACCACCACATAAAAATACCAGTAATTTGTGGGTGCGACCACTGAGTAGGGGGGGTGTTTTATTTTCTTTAAAGTGGGTGTGGTCAGTGGAGTGTCCTATTTTATTTTGAAAATCAGGCAACCTTAACAGTGGTTGAACTTCACATTTCAGCTTTACAGCCAAGACTGAAGCGGAATTCATCACACCAACGCCAATGAGATAGAAAGCCAGCAATTGCACAAGTGATTTACTCTGGTAGGTAGCCAAAGCTTTAAAGCAGAACTATAGGCATAGCATTTTTTACCCCCCATTTTGGATAGAATAAAGGGAGAGTTAACACTCCTGTAAGTTAATTTTCTGTCTCAATGGGGAGATTTACCCTTACTTCCTATCCCACAGCCAAAACAGCAAGTGAAGAGGATATTCCTGAAAATGAAAAGGGAATTCCTTGGTGAAAAGCAAATCAGCAAAAGGTGGTGGAGTAAAGACATCAAAGACACATACTAGTACAATAAAAAAATTACATGTCCCCGCACGAGAAAAGTCCTGGAAGCCAGACCCCTGAGAGGCAAAGGGGAGCCAGTGGAAAAATCAGTAATGGGGAATAATAGTGGAGACCAATCTAGTTTGTCAGTGGAAACATATCTGAGTCAAGGTAAAGAAACTTTACATATGGACTGAATTGGATATAAGGAGTAAGGAAGAACAAAGGAGAGGAAATAGCAGACATGTTCGCAAAGCTAGAAAAAATTAGTTCAAAAAAATGATATGGCAATAATACATAAGGACTTGGGACAAGTACTGTCTCGAGTGGAAGAAATGGACGGTAAATTGGATAAGCATGCCCAAATAATAAACAGAGCTTAAGAACCCAATTGGAGGAACTGCTACATGAACAAAGAAGAATGCAATATAAAAGTAGAAGATCAGGAGAATAGAAATAGTAGGAACAATCTTAGGATTCGGGGGCTACCAGAAGGTACACAAGGAGACGATTAAAGAAATGTAATGAATAAAGTGTTCAACCCACAGACCTATAACTGAGCAACTGAAAATCGAACGAGCCCACAGGATAGAGAGACCCCATGGAGTATCCCCTGGAACCCCAAGAGATGTGATAGTAAGAGTCCTCTATTTTGAATATAAAGCAAGAATTTGGGAGAAGATGAGGAATTCACGCAATATTATACGAAGGGACGGACATGCAAATCTATGTAGATATAGCACCAGAAACATTAGCAAGAAAAAGGATTCTGAGACCGCTCTTGGAACAAATGCAAACACAAAACATCAAATAGAACTGGGGTTTTCCTGCTTGCCTGGTGGGATGGAAAGATGGACGTTCAGCTAGATTAAGGTTTCCGGAAGATCTCCAGGACTTCTGCGAGAAACTAGAACTGTAAGTCCCAGATATCCCAAACTGCACTAATGGGAAAAGGGAAGAACTGGGACAAGTACAAGAGAGGTGGCAAGTGATCCCAAGGAGAAGAGTACAGGGGGGAGATGGGTTATTAGCGAGAAAGGGGTATATTAAAACTCTCCCCTGGTTTCAAATTTATTATGCAGATTGCCCTCTGTGTGACCCAAATGAAAAAAGGTTTTAACCACTTGAGCTCCTGAGGATTTACCCCCCTTAATGACCAGGCCTCTTTTTGCTACTCGGCGCTGCACTAATTCAACTGATAATTGCGCGGTATCATGCAATGCTGCTTCCAAACTAAATTTACGCCCTTTTTTTTTCACACAAAGCTTTCTTTTGGTGGTATTTGATCACCTGTGCACTTTTTATTTTTCACGCTATAAACAAAAAAAGACCAAACATTTTGAAGAAAAACAATATTTTTTACTTTTAGCTATAAAAAATATATAGTAAACTCAAAGTTAGTTATAAATTTAGGCCAAAATGTATTCTGCTACGTTTTTGGTAAAAAAAAAAATCCCATTAAGTGTATACTAATTGCTTTGTGTGAAAGCAATAGCGTCTACAAACTATGGTATAGATACTGCAATTTACGCCTTTTTTTGCTCTAGAGCGCTGCGCTAGTTTAACGGACAATTGCGCAGTCATGCAATACGGTACATAAATGAAATTTACATCTTTTTTTCCCCCACAAATTTAGCTTTCTTTCAGTGGTATTTGATCGCCTGTGCGGTTTTTTTTTTATTTTTTGCGCTATAAAAAAAAAAAAAAAAAAGGCTGACAATTGAGGAAAAAAAAAAACAATTTAAAAATCAAATTTAGTCATAAATTTCTGCCAAAATGCATTCTGCGACATGTCTTTGCTACAAAAAACCCCAATACGTGTAAATTAATTGGTTTATGTGAAAGTTATAGCGTTTACAAATGGCGGGGAAGATACTGGGATTTAATTTTTATACTAATAATGGCGGCGATCAGCGACTTATGGTGGCGATTAGTGACTTGTGGGCGGGACTGCGGCGGACATTCTGACACTGGGGGGGACTTAGGGTCACTGACATCCCCATGACACCAATACAGTAATCAGTGTAAAAAAAAAACCAAAACACAAAAAACACTGACACTATACTAATGGCACTGGGCAGGAAGGGGTTAACTATTATTCAGTGAAAAGGTTAACTGTGTGAGGGGAGTGTTTTACTAGGAGGCAGGGTCTGTACTGCAGGGAACGCAGCTGATCGGGACAGAAACTCTTCTGTGGTTTTGCCCTCCTAGCCGTGCCACCCTGCCGTCATATTTCTACAGTGGCTGGGAGGCATGTGGTTAATCTTAAGAGATGTTTGACAAGAAGGTAGTTAATTTTTTGACCTACAGTGTAAGAGGTTTGAATACTCCAGTTAAAAGACATACTAGGGAAATGGGAAAACACTCAAATGATATAGTATTCTTACAAGAGACATTTGTCTTTAGATACAATGGTTAAATTACAATCAAGACAATACCTGACCTGGTATTATGCAGACTCTCCAATAAAACAAGCTAAAGAAGTGGCAATTGGGATGGCAAGTAATGTAAAATTTAACTTAAGAATGGTAGACCCAGAGGGTCGGTTTCTTTTTCTGAAGGAGTACCTACATGGTATGGAATGTACGCTAGCAAATATTTATGGTTCAAATAAGAACACAACGGTCTACTTAGTGGAGACTTTAACCACTAGCATACTGGGCACTTATACCCCCTTCCTGCCTAGGCCAATTTCCAGCACTGTCGCACTTTAAATGACAATTGCGCGGTCATGCAACACTGTACCCATATGAAATTTTGGGGGAAAAAAACAAAAAAAAAGTTTTTTCTTTTCTTAGTTTTTGTTATAAAATTTTGTAAATAAAATGATTTTTCTCCTTCACCGATGGGCGCTAATGAGGCTGCAGTGATGGGCACTGACTGACTTTGACAGGTGCCACTGCTGGGGCTACACTGATCATACACTGATCATCAGGGCCCTGATGCTCAGTGTACATGTCCCCTCCATGGAAAGCCGATTACTGGCTCAGCTCGAGATGAGAGAAATGCGCCCGTCATTGGACTATATGGCAGGCGGTGGTTAAGGACACTGACAGAATTCAAGAAAAGGAAACTAATTGTGGCTCGGGACTTTAATCTGTGCATGGACCTGCAGATGGATACTTTGCAAGTAAACATTTAAAAGCTTAAAAAAATTTCAGTTGACAGATGTTTGGAGAATTAAGCACCCAGGGATAGATGACTACACGTTCTTTTCCTCTGTACATGCAGTATATACCAAATTGGATTGTATTATGGTAGAGCATAGATTACTGGAATTTTTGGTTAAATCCAATATTGAAGTTCATTGTGACTGGTGCATGGTCCGACAATGTAAGTTGAAAATGGGAGAGGTTGCAGATAAGATAAATACATGGAACTTAAATGAGTCACTTTTACAAGATCAGGAGACGGAAGACAGAAAAAAAATAAAAATTGAGTAATACTTTCAGTTAAAAATACAGAGGGTGCCTCAAAGGCCACAGTATAGGAAGACCATAAGGTCTATATAAAAAAGGGATATCCTGATTTCGGTCGGGGGAAAAAAAAAAAAAAAAAAAAAAAAAAAAAAAAATCGGATGAGAACATTAATAGAGGAAATACAGGAATTAAAACAAATACATAAAAGAATACATACTTAAAAAAAAAAAAAAAAAAAAAGAAGAGTTAAAATGATTTACTGGAACAGGAGACTAAAGGGTTTTTAAATATGGTGGCAAAAGAAAGATACCAATGGGGAATAGACCAGGGAAACATTTGGCAAATATATTAAGGGAAAAGAAACCAGTAGATCATATAAAGAAGATCAGCAATAAATCAGGGGAAATAGCATACCCAACTAAAAAGATCGCTAGCACATTCCAAGAATATCCTAGCCTGCTGTATGCAGTTAAACACAAGGACCAAAGTAACTCAAAGGGAAAACGAAATTACAGGCATTTCTAAAGCAGGATTACCAAGATAAGAAGAAAAAAGTGACAATGCTGGAAAATACAACAACACAGGAGGAAATACAAGCAGCATTAAGGAGTACAACAGCGGGTAAGATCCCGGGGCTGATTGGTACACAGTAAGATATTAGAGGAAATTTAAAGATCAGCCAGTGCCTAGAATGTGCGAATATATATGAATGCATTAGGAGATGGGATGGAAATGAGGAAAGTCGCTTCTGACACACATTACAATTATACCTAAAGAAGGAAAAGATGTATCTCAATGTGCGAGCTATAGACCAATATCATTGCTAAATGTCGATATGAAATTATATGCGAAAGTTATTGCCAGAAGGATAAAAGACCTAATGCCAGA